GGACCCCTTATACAAAAAATAATAATAAATGAATACAACAAATTATTTGGGGCAAAATAGTGAGAACCCTATTATGAGAAATAAGATGAACGAAAAAGAAAAAGGTAGTGAAATGATGTGGAATGGGGTAAAATGTCAAGTTACATCACATGATGGGAAATGATCCTTTGATTTGAACCATTTAAACACTTGTTTTGAGCCTATTTTATTCATTTCTTTCATGACCCGTCATCATAGCTTACATTACAACCTTTAAAAGTTTATTTTGATCGAATGTGAATGCTCAAATTGAATGATCATATGTTAGACTCAGGCATGTTTGTAATGAAGCAATGGAATTGTGCTATGTTTGGAGAGATACTAATAATTGATGAAGTGAAAAAAATGAAAAAGAAAAAAAATTGAAAATAAAAAATAAAAAAAAAAGAAAGAGAGGGAATACTCAAAGTGAAAACCCAAAAGGGTGATTTGGGTTAAAAAAAATTGAGCTAAAAACTAGAAGGATGGTTCAATATATGGAAGGTCAATGTCATCTGAAGATCCTCTGAACTCAGGCAAAATGTGATAGCTTAAAATGATTTTGAAAATCAATGGAATGAGTTTTTGAAAAAGAATCTTTGATTAATATTAAAAATTGTCTGAATATTCATTATTTGGATATTGTTATACCATTTAAAAACTTACCTTAGTGACATGCTTTGAATTTGTTCCTTGATCTATGTATTTTATATGAAACTTATTCTTGTATTGATTGCATTTTCTCTCAATTTACCTTACTTTCACTCATATTTGCATCCTCAGAATAAATCAAAAAAATATATGATTGCATTGTGCTTTTCATGAATTGAAATGATAATCAATGAATGACAATATTCATAAAAGATTCATGCATTCCTTTGAAAAGAAATCTAAGATAACAAAGGCAAAAAAAAAAAAATGAAAAAGATAAAAGAAGGCTAAAAAGCTGATTTGAAAAGGCAAATATGGTAGCCAAATGGTGAATATGGTGATGGATCAACCAATATAATATATGAGTTGTGACCAAAAGCTGCAAATAACATGGATCAGTTAGCGAAATTGGTGAATTGATTATGAAAATGTTACTGTTGGAAAGTTAAAAAGGAAATGTGAGATGCTGGAGTCTTAAAAACCTTATTACCACAATCAATTAGAATGTCATGGTGTTGATTTTAGTGACATTTGCATTACATTGCATTCGCATCATTGTTTAATCACGCATTTGCATCATGTAGTGAACATGTGAATCATGGTTTAGGGTATGGCATCTGCATTGTTGTGAGAATCTAGGTTGTTGCATTTGTATCATTAAGAAAGCATTCGCATAATTATCATACAAAATTTTGACTTTGGTAGGAGAATTTTGAACTTTGAAACTTCAAAAAAAATTTCATTATGAGATTTTTTACAAGAAAAACATCTGAATTTTTTTAAGTTGTGAAACCTTTTCAATGATGAGGATGATTTGTAAAACTTCCAAGAATAATCTCTAATAATTCAAATGAGAATCTTTGAGTTTTAAAAAATTTTTATGTAAATACCCAAAGTTTTGAATCAAAATCCTAGAAATTTTAGATGAAATCATAGAACTTTTGAATGAAAACCTTTGAAATTCTAGTTGTGAATCCCTAGAAGTTTTTTCAAATGCGAATTCAAAAATTTTATGAATCTCTAATCTAAAAGTCTTGCGAACCTTCAATTCTTATGAATCTGAATGCTTTGCGAATCTTCAATTCTTGCAAATCTGAAAACTTTGTAAATCTCTAATTCTTACGAATCTGAAAGTTTTTGTGAATCTTCATTTCTTGTGAATTTGAAACCCTTACGAATCTTCAATTCCTGTGAATCTGAAAGTTTTTACGAATCTTCAATTCTTACAAATTTGAATGTCTTGCAAATCTCTAATTCTTGCAAATCTAAAAATATTACAAATTTTCAATTCTTACGAATCTGAAAATTTTGTGAATCTAAAATTCTTGCAAATCTAAAATTTTTACGAATTTTTGAATCCTGCGAACTTTGAATTCAAATTTGTGATTTTTTTTTTAATTTTGAATTCAATTGTGAATCTTTGAGTTTCAATTTGCATTATGAATTTTCAATTATGAAATTCTTGAATGCTTCAAATTGTGAACCTTTGAAAATTTGAAATTTCGTAATTGCTGTAAAATCAGACTTTGGTTCCATCTAGATCATTTTGTCTTGGATTTTGGCTTATGCTAGATCCTTCTTCAGTTCAATCCAAGTTAATTATTTCAAATTTCGGTTCAATCCAAGTCATTTTGTTTTGAATTTTGACCTATGTTAGATTTTTCTTTTGTTTAGTCCAAGTTACTTATCTTAGACTTCAGTTCTATCCAGGTCATTTTGTTTTAGATTTTGGCCTATACCAAATCTATCTTCGGGTCATCCCATTTTTAAACTCGATTCAATCTACACCAAAGTGTTTTCTTTTTTGAATAAGGCCATGATAGGTGTTTACATCTTTGCATAATCTCTGTTTCATAAAAAATATACAAAGACGGGCAACTGTGGACACCTTACCTTGAAAATAAATAACAGGATAAAATAATTTAAAAAATAAAAAAGATAAAATACGTGATAAGATTTGGTGATTAAATGTTTAAAATTCAATTACTTTTTTAGAATAAAATCCAGATTGAAAAGGAAAGCATGCTCAGTTTTTAAACTGAGATCCTATCTTCAAATCATTATTTAATCCATTGGCAAACCACCAAATGGGGGCAACCATATCTAGCAGTATCCAAAACCAATTCTAACCTAACCACAATTCTAGATTTATCAATAAAACCTAAGCAGCCGATAACTATTACTCAGCATTCCATCTTCAATAACCCATCAAGAGTCATTTTTATCAATTCCATTCAACCTTTCAAAAACCTAAGTTCACCACCGCCAATTTTGATCCACTGCTTTTGGCAATCCTTAATTCCCATCCTCGTCAAGCCGTAAAACATTAACCAAAGTCCCAGCATATCCCTCTAAACCATCAGCCCCAACCTAGCTTTGATATCTTACCAAACCAACAATAGAGTCAACAGTTGCAGAATAATACTTTACCTCAGTGATTTCACCGAACCTAGAAGCATTCATTTATACCCAAAAATTACCCATACCCAGCAAGCACACTTGATTCATGGTTCTCACACACAACACAGCTGAAAGCTAATAAAATGCAACAATCATACACATAATTTGACAACAATAAAATTTGGCAGCAATAACAAAAACAAAGGCTAGAACATTAGGTTTGTAGAGATTTTCAATCCGAAAGAGGTAATAAGAAGGAGGAATTCCAAGGTTGGTAAGGTAGGCTAATTTCGGGTTTCCTTTTGGGGTTCTAAGTTAGTTTGAAGAAAAAAGAAATACCAGTAGCGACGATGGCAGGTTACAGTTACAAAAAAGATATCTGGCAACTGTTTGTTCGGTTGTGAATTTTCTGTCTTTAGTTAGTGCCTTGAAGAAATAGATGCTAGAAGAAGTAGCAAGTACAAGTGGTTAAACGACCATTTATAGAGGCAACAACGGCCTTATTTGGTGGCTGAAATTTTTGTCTACTAAGAAAGATGACATAGCTGGTTTTGTAGAAATAGGGGAAAAAATAAAGAAGAAGATAGGGTTTCATTTGTGAAAATAGAAAATGATACCGTGAAGAATTTGAGATATTCAACCCGACTTTGAAGACCAGCATTTTGATCCATTTCTAGTCTGACCTAATCGCTTCAACTCGCAGGCTACTACAAGGGCAATCCGACCTAGTTACAACCTTTTTTTTAACCTGTTTTCCAACAGCCTTATTGAGCCACCAAGACGAGCGGTAATTCTTTTTTGGTAATTTTATGCTATTTGCTTATTAATTATTTATTAGTCTTTTGAGTGAAAGATTTTAGGAAAAAATAAATAAATTTTTTTTAAAAGAATGATGATAATTCTAAAATACTAAAAATAAAAATTTCAAAAGAAAAACATTTTAAGGAAAAGTTGAAAGTATCAATTTTTCTTGAAGGTAAAAATTTCAAAAAAGGTATTTTTGAGGAAAAATTAAAAGTATTAACTTTTCTTGAAAATAAAAATTTTGAAAATTATTTTTGAGGAAAAATTGAAAGTATCAATTTTCTTTGTGTAAAGTCATGAATTTTTTTTTAAATAAAATAAAACAAAACAATGAAAGAGATCCCTATCAAAGGTCGAAGCATTATTTTTTTTTTTGTTTTTCTTACTTTCTTGAAAATTTTTTAATGTTAAATAATACGACAATAGAGGCTATGCAAGATAAATAGTAATTTTTTTGTATACTTTTGAGGTGAGAAAAGTTTTTCAATTTTTTGCCATAAGTATTAGAGTTAATTAATAATAATTTTTAATAATTAATTACTTGATAAAATTTTTAAAGCTTAATGGATAACGTAAAATTGAGCTAGTACCATCTTTCGATGGACGTTGTGAAGGTGTTATAACATTCATCACACATAACTGTACTCTCGGACTTAGTTCTGTTTTCACAAACATTGAATCTATCTTTTAAAAATACCTAAGTCAAGCTTAGGATTTCTCTTTAAAAAGTGAAAAATTCAGTTACGTGACCAATCACACAGAAAAAGATTAATAGCAACTCCTAAATCAATATCTAACGATAGGTCCATGGACCTAGACGATATGACATTTTAAATGTTATAGTGTATACTTAAAAATTACATCAATAATTTAAATTGTATAACTTTAAAGAAAGATAATTTTGACCCATAAATAAATTATTCTATTTTAATTTTTGCACACATCAAATACAATATAAGATGACATTATTTAATTTAATTTAATTTAATTTATAATATCTTATCCTATTCTATCATATATTGTGTACGAAACACATTCTAATTGCTTTATATTTCTACAACCAACTTGGTGTCTGAGTAACTCATGATATCAATTCAATCAAGCATAGGCACTTTGATATTAATATAGATGTAGATGCAATATGGATGCAAGAACTCGTCATGACACAAATATGTTGCTAACTTCGATAAAATGTTTTGGAATAACCCGACAAGGGCACAGTTGTCCATCAGTGTGCTTTTACTTAATTACAGACTCCAAAAATGAGTATTTCCTTTCTTTCTGATCAAGTAAGCAAGACTATACAATGTAGAAACACGAGTGTGAGGTTTCTATGAGCAAGACTAAGCTTAACAAATCGCACACGAACAAATCAATCCCATGCTACTAGGATGAGAAGAAAAGAAAAAGATCAATGTTCATTGACATTGCCAACCCTATCTGAGGCTTTGAGGGAGCACTGGGCCTCCATTCAACATCTTTGCACTATTTTCATCCATTGCAACTCTACTCCAACTAGAATTTCTCATGGAGAATATCCGACTCTGATCAAACCCACTTCCTCTAAAGCCTGTTGCCTTTGATGATACCATAGGCATTACAAGAACTGCAGATGCATTGATGGAATCCACTCCAAAACCTAGTGATAAAGAGCATGTTGTCTGTAAAGGGCATACCAATATCAATTTTAGCACTAAATTAGAGTGTCACAATAATCTTTTTAAAGGATAAGTCCACAAATCCAATTTGCAGTACCTTTGCCTTGGCCAGCATATCAGTGATCTTCATCATCGTTCCTTGTGTAAATGATTTTATCTCTTTATTTTGTGCATCTTCAGATAATAAGATCAACCTATGAGGGAAAAAATGAAAACGGTTGGTTAAGTACAAAATGTATTCAGTACAAAACTATGCAAGTACATGTAGGCACTTATAACCTCAATAATGATAAAAGAAAAAAATATTAATTTGTTCATTTGTCAACGTACATTTCATCAGTTCTCATCTATTACACAACCCATGAAGGATCACAGGTTGTTTGACAACCAAGAAATATGGTTTTTACCTGTCAGTTTCAGTCGAATTGCTGGAGGACATAATAGAATCTAGATGTGCATTATCCTTTACTTCGCCACCTAAAAGGAGGGGAAGAAATTGAAGTCAGAATAAGCTCCCACCTTCAATGAAAGTACCTCAATGTAAGTACCTCTTAACTCATCAGGTGCCAATAAACAAATGCCTATGAACACAGACAGCATTCCTAGTATGAACATTGTTGTCCTCAGTGCATCAAACACCTGTTTTATTAAACAAAAAACACTATTTAAGATCATCTAATACCATTATCCAGAAGGTAAGGGCTAGAGTTGAAGAATACTGGCTTTTGCAGACTACCTGCATGATTAGCTATACAGACTTTGTACATGAGAAATGGACAAAAGCCATCAATTTACACTTATTCTTCAATGAATGATAACTACTTATTTAAAAGCAAGATTACAGAAGGCTGTCCTCTAACCAATTGCTGCAAAAAGCAGTTGCAGTTAAAAAACAACAATAATTAAGGACCTACTCAGAAAACTAGGCATTGAAATTCTCCAAGTTCAGCAAAATGATCTTACTGCATTGAAGATATATTACACCGAAAAAAAATTCATGCGAGCAGGGAGTGAGGTGGTTTGATCCAAGAATCCTGACAAGATGCCTTTGTTGTGTGTGCATGTTTGTGTGTGTGTGTGTGTGTGTGTGTGTGTGTTTGAGAGAGAGAGAGAGAGAGAGAGAGAGAGAGAGAAGACCTGATATTCCTGGAAGTATATAAATCCAGTACAAATGGAGAAGAAAGTCCAAGCAATTTGAAACATGGGAACAATAAGGATTGCATCAAAGAGTGACAACCCTTCATTCAACCTTGCCATCTGCGGTAGGAAAGTTCAGTATAAGTTTCCTAAAATCACTCACGGAAGAAGCATAACGTACTAGTTCTGCATAATTCTTACCCAAAATCCAGCCGTACTAAGAAATAAAAGTATCATGGAGTATGTGAACCAGCTGTGCAACTCATAACCATTGGACATCGCCAACCTTAGAAGGTTAGAGCTGGATAACATGAAATTCAAAATTAGAATTAACCACAATGCTAGTTTTTTCTGGAAAGACTAATGACATCTAAACCAACCAACTTACAGAGATTTTGCAAATAACACTGAGCATGATCCTAAAGCACCTGAAACTACAGCATATGAAAAAGGAAGCAGCATGTTCCAATATGGTCTAAGGTCTTGAGCAGAAACAGTAAGGAGAAGTTCTCCTCTCCTGAATGTTTGATGTCAAGGCATGTCAATCAACTAAACAAATGGCTAAAATGAAACACAATAACATGAATAAAATAGCTGGCTCCGAAATCTCACCTGTAGATAGAGTGATATAATGCAACAACTAAGATCAAAATCAGACAGTAAAGAAGGAATGTTATGTTGCTGTATTTCTCCGCTAACTGTTCTGGTGTATAAACTGAAAAGGAAACAGAAACCACCAGTGAATTTTTGTTACAAAACCAGTGAAACCAAAGCTCTGTCTCCATCCATGCATTCATGTGGACGAGTCTCTCTCTCTCTCTCTCTCTCTCTCTCAATGTTTACAATTAAATATATAATTATATATATGTTCTCTTTTTTCCCTTTTCCCCATCTGGCTGATGGTTGGGAGGAAGGGATGCAATCAAGATTTCAAAGCAAATACAATCAAGTCAAAAAATTAAGTGAGATTAGATACCAGGAGACTGGTGGTTGCCGAAGGCGACAAGAAAAATATTTCCAAGAACTATAAATGCAGTTGCTACAAGTACCCTGGAAATAATATCAATGCCAATGAGACAGATTTAGAGACAATCATCTGGGAAATAAAAGTGAGGACTCAGTTCTAGTTATCAAAATTTAGCTCTCACTTCAGACTAAAACATACTTTACAGTAACCATTTTGTTTAACACGAAGTAAGCAAATGCAATGTTGGATAAAAACTGAACAGATCCCAAGGCTGCGAGCAGTGACTGCAAAGGACGAAGAGAAAGGGAAAATGTGAGAAAGGAAAAAAAGAAATAAGCTAGACAGGAAACTGTAGAGTCATTAAAACACAAGAATAATGTTCAACCTTGCAAAAGGTGCAGTGGTAATGAAACAATAAAAATTTAAACTTCTTTTATCCCAAAAATTGTTGACCATGTTGCTCTGCGGCATCCCAAACAAAAAATTGTTCCAAATTAAAAGTAAACAAGTAATCATTATCCAGGTTCCTAAACCTACTTACCAACAATAAAGGGTTAAAGATAGAACTTAATACATCAAGCCCACAACATTTAATGTGAATGCATTTAATGTAGCTTCTTAATCTTAGAGCCTATATGGAGGAAAATTAATACGCAATTTTGTAAAAATTGAACCTATTCAGATAAGAAGGCAGGGAGTACTGACCTGAGCAGCATAACCAAAGGAAATGAAGTTCAGGCAATTCCCAAGAATGAAAAAGAGAATACCTGCAAATGAAGAATTACATTTTAACATTAAGTCACTCCACATGTAGCAGAAATGAACACCCATTTATTGGAATTAGCACCATAAGACTACAACTATACCGACTCTCCAAGTTTGAAAGTATATGATAGGCTTCAATGAATTCTTTCCAGCTATTCGTTCACCATCCATTATGGAATGTCTTTCTCTCTGTGAATTTATGCAGACTCAATGAGAAAAGCAAGATGGTATCGAGATTGAAAATAAGAGCTGTCATACTAAACAGTTGATATCCCTGAATGCTCTCTTATCAAGCAATGAATGGACAAATTACTGAATAATGAGGTATAGCATCAAATTTTGATGTTCACATTTGATAATGTTTCACCGCACACTAGAAGAAAAAAAAACAGAAACACATTACTTTGAATACAAAGAATTGGCATCGGATAATGGAATGCAGACCTAATCTAACATGAAAGCAAGATTTTTACAATGCTCGGGAGGCCTACTAGTAACAACATAAGTTGTGCATACGGGTTTTTATGTATGTTTTTCTTGTGTCGTTGAATGCTCAAGCAGAAACATGAACATGAATAGAAGTACAAAGACGACTGTATGACTTGGGAAACATTTCAAGTGCTTAATATATCCGACAAAGTAATCGATCAACATGACTTGGCGATAGGAAGGTGAAAGGAAACAAAATTTTGCAAATTTCGTACCTCATTGTGACCTAATTTAAGAAGGTTTGTCCCAAAGTTGATGGCAATACTGCCAATGAGGTTGATGAATGCTCCAATGACCCACTCTCCCATGGTTTAGATATGTGATCCCCTTTAGAAAAACCAACTTGCAGTAGAGAACTTGAGCTTAGCTAAGAGTAGATATTGAAAATAAAAGTAGTTTCCTGCAACACTGTTATGCGCATTCTCTGGTATCCTTTAGCAAGGGCCTTGGAGCCCACGTTGAATGATTGGCAGCAGATAAATTTGAAGCGGAAAAAATTAAATGGAGAATATGACAAAGTGATGCCTGCAGAAAATATGACACAAATTAAAAATTCATTCGCCCACGAAGAATCATGTATTTGGAAAGAAAAGAAAAAAAAAAGAGGTGAGGAAGCATATAAAGGAAAAGAAGAATGCCAAATTAAGCTACCATACGAGCAACCCTAATGCAAATGGAGATAAAGAAGGCTGCAGGATAATTCAATCAACGTACTTGTTACCATACGAGAAAAAAAAAAAAAAAGAAGAAGGGAATTAATATTAGTATTTTATTTATTAATTCAAGTCATAATAGAAAAGAAAGACAAAAAAGCACCTATACCAGCATGTATATAGATATGGAGAAAGGAAGCAGAGGATTCTGGCGGGCAGCAAGAGAAAAAGAAAAGGGCTTTACCCAATCTTCGTCTTTGTCTTTGTCTTAGTGTTGGGAGATCTAATCTGATCTAATTTAATTGAATTGGTTCCTAAATCAACGGATGAATGGATTCAATGCCGCCGGTCTTGTTGATAAAAATTAAAAGAAAAAGAAAAGAGCTTTGCCCAATGAAATGGGGAATCCAACTGTTCTCTCTTGCAATTGGTAAAAGTTTTGGAGGGACAGCGGACGAGGTTGAATATAAGGATCCAATCAAAGAAACCAATATTTTTGTTATTATTAAGATCGTAAAATGTAAAACTATATGTATTCAACCATAAAGAATGAATAAAAGAAACAAAAAATTGTGTTGGCTTTCCGTTTTGGTTGAACGTCTTGCTTTTATTTTGGTTTTCTTTTAGATAAAGGAAAGTAAGCTTGTGTATTTGTGTTCGAAAATACATGGAATGTGCGATTCCAACAAGAAAAATGAAATATTACCTGGCTACCAGTGGTAAAATTTCTTCATAACCACCTAAAGAAGAGTAATAAATTTTCCTTTTTTTTTTTTTTTTCTAATACTAACCCTTTATGTTTTGCAAGAAATTGAGAATGGAGTGAGCGAGAGGGAGGACGTAGAGCAGGTTAGAATTTTCTTCGGTTGTGAGGTCAATAGCAAAAAACCTTGATTCTTAACCCCACCCCCCCACCCCCCCAAGGCCGCCGCAGTCATCTATTAGAGAAGAAAAATGAAATTTCTGCATGCGAGACCAAATGCATTACGCCACATCACACGTGATCGAACACTTTGACCGTTGAATCATCTTTCTTGTGTTTTTTGCTTCCTCCACTCCAATCTCCAAAACGGGTAGGTTTCATATGCGCAAAATCTCTTGCAATAAGTAATGGATTTAAAAATTTTTTTAGAGATTTTTATTTATAATATATATATATATATTTATAGATTTATTTATTAATTTTGTTAAAGAAATGATGTCTATGAAATTTTAGGGTGTTTAATACAATTTTTTTAGTTTTTTTTTATTTTTCAATTGTGTTTATTAAAAAATTTTAAAGATATTTAATTAAAATTTTATATTTTACAAATTTAAGGTGTTTATTAAAAAATTTTGAATATGTTCAATTAAAAAAAATCTTATTCAAAAATTTTTTTCAAACTGTTATATTTTTTAATTTTAAGAAGTATTAATAAACATTTTAATATCAAAGGTATATTTGCTACTGCTTATAACACTAGTAGTAAAGTACATAGATTACTATCTTTGTCACCCTCTTTAAAGGATTTACTAATTTCATACCATTCCATAATTGTAATTAGATACAAGTACTAAATCCTAATAGAACAGGTGAAATTCATTGATAACTTGTATTCTATGGATCTTGTTCTTAGTAATTAAGCAAAGGATTTACTAATTTCACTACCAATAACTCTAACAAGCCGACATCAGATCAGATCAAACATCGTCCAAGACCAGAAGAAATGTCTATGAGCTATAATCAGATGTACTGGTCTCTCCGTGCGCTCCAGAAATATTGCAAATTTCAAAATTTGAAAGGTCCCATTTCATTTTCCTCCTCCACGAAGGATCAGAGAAGGTGGACCAAAAATAGCTCTGGCTAGCTTTGACTAACGCAGAAGAAGATGCCAAAGCCAACGCCACCGCTTGCAGATTATTGCTTTGACAATTACGATCAGGAATCTTCAGACCTTTTACTGGACGACAATGCTTTTCCATTGGTTTAACACGATCAGGGAGAAGAAGAGGGAAATTTGGCTGCCCATTTCTATCGTTGTGGAAGCGATTGGTCATGCTTGGTGATAGAGGACATGGACAGCACATGAGGCAGCAAAGGGTCGTGCAAGTCCAACTCCAACACAAAGCTGAAGCAGGCCAATCTGTTGCAGATGTGGGGATTCAAGATGTTGCGCATGAAGCAATAATCACAACAATACAAAAGCAATAGACAACAATCAATAATCAAATGCGCAGGAAAAATAAAGCACACCAAGATTTACGTGAAAAACCCTCCAGTGTAGAGGAAAAAAAACCACGGGCCACCAGAAAAATCTTCACTATCAAATAATAGTTATACAAAGTTCTTCTCTAGCTAAAACTAGAGCTAATCAACAACTAGAGAAATAATTGGAGAAATCTCACTAAATAAGTGACTCAACAAATACACCCTGGATTTGTTTCTAGAGAGCTTCAAACCCGATCTTCACCTTTCAGAATGTATAACTCTGAATCATAAACCTCCTGACAAGGTTCCAACTCAATCGGACCACGGATCGACTTCCGTTTAACCAACTCTCCCTTCTTCTTTTTCTCTCTCTGCTTTTCTTGGCTTTTCTTCTTTCTCTGCTTGGTTGTCGACACACACATAAAACAACTCCACCTCTTTTTTTTTAAGTAGCTAGGGCTCTGTGTAAAATAAAAGATCAAGGCCCATGGCCTTTACTTGGTCCAAAACCACTTACATGGGACTGGACCCCATTTTCCTAACAATCTCTCCCTCCAGCCCCATTAGGAGGAGATTCATCACCATAGCAGTTTCATTTGGAACTTACCTTGGCCAGGGAACTCATTCCGACCAAGTTACTGCAAAGCTCAAGCTTTTCCCTGGGAAGTATCTTAGTCAACATATCTGCCACATTTTTATCAGTATGGACTTTCTTCAATAGCATCTGCTGTTCTTCAATCACTGAACGTAACCAATGATATCTAACATCAATGTGCTTTGTTCTAGCATGGTACATGGTATTCTTACTCAAATCTAAAGCACTATGGCTATCACAAAATACCACATACTCTTTCTGATTCAACCCTAATTCAAGAAGAAAACGTTTCATCCAAAGCATTTCTTTACATGCTTCAGTTGCTGCAATATACTCAGCCTCTGTAGTTGACAAAGCAACACACTTCTGCAACTTAGACTGCCAAGATACAGCTCCTCCTGCAAAAGTGAACAAATACCCTGAAGTAGATTTTCTACCATCAAGATCGCCTGCCATGTCAGCATCAGTAAACCCTTCTAAAACTGGTTGTGAAACTCCATAAGTCAAGCACATTTTTGAGGTACCCCTCAAATATCTAAAAATCCATTTACTGCTTTCCAGTGAACCTTTCCTGGATTAGAAAGAAATCTGCTCACTACACCAACTGCATGAGCAATGTCAGGCCTTGTACAAACCATAAGATACATTAAAGAACCGACTGCAGAAGAATAAGGAATACTAGACATAGCTAGTTGCTCTTTCTTAGACACTGGACAAGATTTCTTACTTAGGTGAAAATGGTTGGCAAGTGAACTACTAACTGATTTAGCATGTTGCATGTTGAATCTACCAAGCACTCGTTCAACATACTTTTCCTGTGATAACCACAGCTTTCCAGCTCTCCTATCCCGGATAATGTCCATACCAAGAATCTGCTTTGCTGGACCTAAATCTTTCATATCAAAAGACTTAGACAATTGTTTTTTCAACCTGCAAACCATACTAGCATCTTGTTCTACAATCAACATATCATCAACATATAATAATAGGATAATGAAGTTACCATTAGGGAATTGTTTAATATACACACAAGAATCCGCTGCTGTTCTTTTATAGCTATGACTCACCATAAAAGAATCAAACTTTTTGTACCACTGTCGCGGAGCTTGTTTCAAGCCATACAAGCTTTTCTTCAATTTGCAAACTAAATGCTCTTTCTCTTTCACTTTAAAACCCTCAGGCTGATTCATATAAATATCCTCCTACAAATCACCATGCAAAAATGCAGTTTTAACATCAAGTTGCTCAAGCTCAAGATTCAAACTAGCTGCCAATCCCAGTACCACTCGAATAGAACTCATTTTTACAACTGGAGCAAAAATCTCATCAAAATCGATGCCTGGTTTCTGAGAAAAACCTTTTACTACCAATCGAGCTTTGTACCTCACTAGTTTGTCACCATCCTTTTTCAACTTGAACACCCATTTATTCTTTAATGGCCTCTTCCATGTTGGAAGTTTAACAAGATCATAAGTACCATTCTTTCGCAATGACTCCATCTCTTCTTTCATTGCTTTTAACCAGTGCTCTCTATCCGGAGTAGCCTGCACATCTTGAAAGCTTTCTGGCTTCCCTTCACTGGTAACTAAAATAAAATTTGAACTTGGATACCTGGTAGATGGCCTGCGCTCGCTAGTAGATCTCCTAGGCTGAGACTCTACATCACTTGATGCCGAAGGTAGCTCCCCCTGCTCAACACTCTCAAGTAGAGAGGATTGCTCCCCCTGCTCAAAACTAATAGCATCTGGCTCATCACCAACTGTAGTTGGCTCATCCATATCCCCAAGTTCTGTTTCTAACTCATTTTCACCATCTGTGGCTCTTTCCTGTGAAATCTCTGTCGGTGTTGAAACATCACACTCAACAGTAACTCGTGTAGTCTTCTCATTTTTCTCAAGGTCTGCTATGGTTTCTTTTTCATGAAAGACCACATCTCTGCTTCTGACTGTCTTTCTCTTTACTGGATCCCATACCCTGTAGCCAAATTTCTCATCACCATATCCTACAAACACACACTGTGTAGCTTTACTGTCAAGCTTTGATCTCTGCTCTTTCGGCACATGCATGAATGCTTTACACCCAAAAATTTTCAAGTGAGAGTATGAAGCATCTTTTCCTGTCCACACTCTTTTTGGAATGTCAAAGCCCAAAGGAATTGATGGTGAGCTGTTAAGTAAATAACAAGCTGTGTTGACTGCTTCACCCCAGAATGACTTTGGTAATTTTGCCATCCTCAACATACATCTGACTTTTTCCACAATGGTGCGATTCATTCTTTCAGCTATACCATTATGCTGTGGTGTTCCAGGTTCTGTCCTCTCATGCCTGATCCCATGCTTTGAGCAATACTCTTCAAAGCTTTTAGATGCGTATTCCCCACCATTATCAGTTCGAATACACTTCAAGGGTAACCCTGTCATCCTTTCAACCATGGCATAAAATTTTTGAAAATACTGCAGTACCTGACTTTTATATTTCAACATATACACCCAAGTCTTACGTGAAGCATCATCAATAAAAGTAACAAAATATCTGCTACCACCTAATGACTCAACCTCAATGGGACCACATACGTCAGAATAAATTAATTCTAATCTATTTTCTTTTCTCTGAGAACTTTTACAAAAAGAAACTCTATGATGCTTACCAAACAAACAATAATCACATGAATCGAGATACATACCTTTGGTCAAGGGAATGAGAGAGTGCCTTGCCAAAACCTGTAACCCTTTTTCACTCATGTGTGCCAGCCTCCTGTGCCACAAGTTTACTGAAGCATCATTTTCAACGGTATTTACCTGGTTACCATTCAATTGCATCCATGTCTTATACATTATGCAACATAGTTTTCCCCTTGCAACTACCATAGATCTTTTGAGAAGCTTCCACTGTCCATTCTTTTGTCGGCTTTCATATCCCTCCTTATCAAGGACATTAATAGCAAGCAAGTTCATTCTCATATCTGGAATGTGTCTGACATCCCTTAAAGTCAACATGCAGCATGTACTAGTTTGTACACTAATATCACCAATCCCAACAATTTGCGACACACTCTTGTTTCCCATCTTGGTACAAGCAAAGTCTCCTGCTTTGTAAGTTGTAAACAACTTTCTCTTAGGAACACAATGATATGTCGCTCCTGTGTCAACTATCCACTCAATGCCGGGATCACTAACATGATTACAATCACCATGTGTACAAATCAAAGTAACTGAATCACTATCTGAATTCACTGCTGCAACATTGCCATCATCTGAACTCTTGTCTTTCTCATCTTTTCGCTCTTACTTCAAGATTCTACAATTTCGTTTTATATGACCCGCCTTACCACAATGGAAACACTTCACTTTACCTCTAGATTTGGATCTATGTTTAGACTTACCATGGCCTTTTGAGTCCTGACCTCTGTCGATGTTTCTACCCCTGTTCTCTGTGACCAGAGCTTGATTCCCAGGATCTACATCTTTTCGCCTCGCTTCTTCATTAAGCATACTGTCTTTTACCATCTCCAATGTCACCTTATAATCAGGAGCTGAATTAAGAACAGTCACAACTAGAGTATTCCAGCTGTCTGGCAATGAACCCAAAAGAAATAATGCCTTCATTTCATCATCCATTTTAAGCTCCATAGTAGTCATCCGATTAAATATATCTTGAAAATCACTCAAGTGCTCTGTAACAGATCGTCTATCCCTGTACTGTAAAGTTGCAATCTTTTTAACAAACATAACTTTATTCATACCTGTTTTTCTCTCATACAATGCTGCCAATTTTTCCCAAACAATGTGAGCATCTGACTCCTGCGCTACATGATGGAACACGCTGATATCAACCCATTTTCTGATTGTAGCCAACGTCTTTCTACCTAGCTTCTTCCAGCTTTCATCTTTCATATCTGCTGGTTTAGCCGAATCACCCAATACTGGCTCATACAAATCTTTACAGTATAGATGATCCTCCATCATAGGCTTCCAAATTGAATAATTCGATGCTGTCAATTTTATCATGGAACCTGTATCACCCTCCATGATCTCAAACAGAATTTACTTCTATCCTGGGATGCTTCAGTATCGATGTTTCAAAATAACCCTCGCTCTGATACCACTTGTTGCGCCTGAAGCAATAATCACAACAATACAGAAGCAATAGACAACAATCAATAATCAAATGCGCAGGAAAAATAAAGCACACCAAGATTTACGTGAAAAACCCTCCAGTGTAGAGGAAAAAAAACCACGGGCCACCAGAAAAATCTTCACTATCAAATAATAGTTATACAAAGTTCTTCTCTAGCTAAAATTAGAGCTAATCAACAACTAGAGAAACAATTGGAGAAATCTCACCAAATAAGTGACTCAACAAATACACCCTGGATTTGTTCCTAGAGAGCTTCAAACCCGATCTTCACCGTTCAGAATGTATAACTCTGAATCATAAACCTCCTGACAAGGTTCCAACTCAATCGGACTACGGATCGACTTCCGTTTAACCAACTCTCCCTTCTCCTTTTTCTCTCTCTGCTTTTCCTGGCTTTTTTTCTTTCTCTGCTTGGTTGTCGACACACACATAAAACAACCCCACCTCTTTTTTTTTAAGTAGTTAGGGCTCTATGTAAAATAAAAGATCAAGGCCCATGACCTTTACTTGATCCAAAACCATTTACATGGAACTGAACCCCATTTTCCTAACACAAGAAGCCTGGCTTCCCCGAGATGCCTCTTTCCCCACTCCCAGTCACACCAAGATGACACACACCAAACCTTCTTCCACTAGTTTTCTCAATTTGCCCCGCGTTTGCCCTTTCTACAAAAAGATCCCTGGTTTTTGTTGCTTTTCCCCTTTCCTTTCCATTTTGCTAACTCTCTATAATCTGTATCCTTGCAATATGCCTTAATTACTGATAATTCCCGTTACTTAATATAGGCATGGGAATGGGGAGCAACAAATATGAAAAAAAAAAATGTTACTATTGTCATGTAATCAAAAACCAAGTCTTGCATTTCTAAAAAAAAAAAAAAAAGGTCTAGGAGCCGCATTTGTTTCTTAAATGATGTTCCTTTTTGGATCAGTATCTGTTACTCCAATTTCTTTAAGACGAAAAAGAGGAAAGGGCTTCTTTCCATATTCCAAATTCCAATCCACTTGCATTGCGTCATACAGGAACGGCCTTCACCGTGGATGCATCCGCTACAGTTGTGTTCAAGGATGCTCTGCTATTTCCTTACCCACTTCCATTGTGATCACTATGCTGGCCTCGCCAAGGGATGGTCGCATGGCCCTATCTATTGCACCCCTCTCACCGTTCGCTTGCTTACATTGTGCCTATCTGTGAATCCATCGTTTAGAAAGATGAGGGAATGATGAGGGAATGAAAGATTTACTAATCCAGATCTGTCTAAAAGATTTAGATGATAAATATAGAACGCCATCATAAATCTTGATCAAAGTTTTCAGGTTCTGCACATATGAGAAGCAAAGCTGAGAACCGCCAAGGATTTATGCATCGTATAACCGGACCTGTTTGATTTTGCTACCATCTAAAGTTCGACAAGGTTTGTCACCAAGGGTACCTGTTTTTAGAATACTTTAGATGCCTCGTCTGCCAAGCTAGGAAGCTAGCAAATGGCGTTGTAGGCCAAGAGCGGAGTTATTTAATTCATGTCGGATTTTGGACAAAGCTTTTCAGACTTGAAGAATTATTTAATTAATAAAAAATGTTTTATGTAACTTTAATTTAAAATATTAATATTTTTTATCTAAATATATAATTTTAAAAATTCGGGTTTATAAACCCGATGGGTTATATTGGATTCGCCTTCGCAGACCTTTTGAAAGACCGATAGGATCCGGCACGCCCCGGTTATCGACAGGCCTATTCCTCAAGTATGACGGTTATTTTTGTGCTACTGAGTCCCTAGAGATGCCAAGTAACCTGCGGACAAAAATAAAATACTCAAGTGAGTGCAAAAGAAAGTTGTCCTATGCACTATATGGATGCTATTAAGAACATTTAAAGAAGTATTTTCCTTTTTCTTTTTTTTTTTATTATTTTCCTTATTTTCCTTTTTCTTAACCTCCATTAATTACAGTCGGGTTTGGAATTAATGCTCAAAAGGCTCAAAATTAAATCCTGCTACTAGTCTTTTACAGCAGAGAAGTGAGACAACTTAATATGAAAATAGAGAAGAGAACCAAACTTTATCCAACTCTCTCACCATAGGCTTCCTTGTTTTCTCTTTGATTTCTTGTACAACCGTCAACAGACGAGAAACAAGCCTATGGGGGTGAGAGAGTATGGAAATATCGAGTCCCAAAAACAACTCTTTAACGACACCACTCCATCTTTGGCCCTTTGTTTAACCCCTCCACCGACCCCTTTCTGCCTCTCATTTTCCACGGTCAGGAAAGGTGAGGAGCACAAGAGGGAAGGATTGTCTGATGCCCTCAATTCATTTATATTGGCGCAAGAAGGATTCACACAAATTAAAAAGCCACTTATCCGGGTGAATTCCGCAAAATTTAACGACAAACTAGTGCGAACTCGAGGAAAGTTTCTTTAATTGATGCCGAGTATCCTGCCTTATAGTTTTCGTCGCGCAACGAAATCCAGTATTTTTTCCCCCTATTCAATTGATGGGAAATATTATGTCTAATGTGAGAAATTGTTCAGAAATAGTGAGCTTGTGAGGATAAAAATGCCAGCTAAGAAGCCCAACAGAAGCTTTGGTGCTTGTTTGCGGGAAAAGATACACGCCTCCTTAATATCATCCTATCCGCCTTTGTTGTGACCAGATTAAAAAAAAGAAAAAAGATATCATTCTATCCCAGAAAAGGAGCTGAAATGAAGTTATTAACCTCGTTCTGTTTATGATAGAACTCTGTATTTTATTCTCCCCCAAGGAAGCTCTTCAAACCACCATTAATCTGATCGATCACTCCTATGGCACCAAAGAAAGATCATCATCCTTCCTATCTTTTCCTTTTTCCTAGACAAGCTGTTGCCGTAAGATTACAGTTATCATCGACTCAAATTCTACTAAATAACTAAGTTAATAAACTATAAGTAATGTTGACATCCAATGACTAAAATATATATATATTGATACATTTTATTCCATGAGCACTAGCATAAATTAGACCTCATTGCGATTCATGCATATGCTACAATGACTGTGCCTCCAAACAAAAATTCAAGGAAAAAATAAAAAACTCCAGTCTTCACTTCCAAAAGCTTCAAAGCTGTTTTGATATTGCAGGTGTATTATAAGACCACAAGGTCTTATGCATTCAAATGATCAAGGATTGACATAGCAGAAACAACCTCGAATAACATGCTAAAGAGGAAACCTGACAGATACCACATGAACTCAAACATAATTAACAATATCAGCACTTAAGACCGAGATAGTGTATGTACCTTAATTTATCCAAGTCACCAGTCCCAAATCTCTAAAGATTTGAATAAACACGGGCAAGAAAATGACCTCCTTGTAAAGACACATAAGCACAATCCGCTGTTACATGTTTCAAAATTCATTACAATTATTCTATTGTTGACCAAATTGGGGAAGAAATACAAACCAAAAGACATACACCCAGTGAGATTCACAAACATAAATGCAATAACACTGAGAACATGTGATTGAAAGACACAGAACAAGTACAAATCTAAACATGCCAAAATTTTTATGTGTCCGAGCCATTTCTTAAAGCTCTTCATGGATTTTACCAATTCAAAGCCTTTTTCCACATATAATACTCGACTTTGGATATAAAGGCCACCAGTCCTAGAACTCTCTAACCCCTGTAGTCTATAAGCGGGCAAAAACCTCTATTTGTTAAATCTCATGTAATATAACAAATTATTACTTGTTCTATATGTGCATAAATCTCATGCTATATTGACCTTTGCATCAGCATCTATATGTCACCCCAAATTTTTTTTTTCCTTTTTCAATTGACACTTAATTTTTCTTCAGGTGCTAGGTTTAAAGCATAAGCAACCTCAAAAAAAATCCAACTTTTCACTTACCATACTCTAGGAAGCATAAAGAGTTTAACAATAATTAATCACAAAACGACACTTTCGGCCATTTTTGCCATTGTTTCAGGAATGCATAAGCTGCCTCTCAATCCAGAACAAGTCCCCGACCGGGAAAAACAGATGATGAAGTATCAAAAGAACATCACTTCATGTGTCATCTTATGCATGTGTCATCTCAGAAATGATGCTCTATTCCTTCAATGACATCAGAAATACAACATGAATATATATATATATATATATATGTGTGTGTGTGTGTGTGTGTGTGTGTGTATAAAACAGCAAAAAGATTTCCTACTTTCAGCAACTTCATTTTAGCTCTTTGTGCAATCAGACATGTTAGACTGATTTAATTTCCATTCAACCAACAAACTTTCTCGTAAAAGTAGTAAACTCAACATTTTTGACCCAATGACAAATGTCCAACAGATATAGAGATTCTGTATCTGCCACACCACCACAACTGAATGCTGAATTTAACAAATAGAGATCAAGGGATGAAGTGAAGATAATATGCCAGCAAGCTCATAAAGTAGAGAAAGATGGAAACAGCTTGTAAAAACAAAATTTGTAAAGTAGCAACAGGTTTCAGAGTGACCAATGAAGGTAAAAACTTTGATATCCTTAAACTGAATGCCACAACAAGAAGAATAGAAGTGACAGAGTAAAAAAAAGTTAGAGCGCAGAGGAAGAAAAAAAAGAAAAAGGATCATGCTTGTGTGCCGGTCAAAGCCTTCATCTGAATATGACAAGAATCAGCAGCATTGGTAGGCAAGGCCTCGTAGGAGCCCTGTCTCCTCATCCCAATAGTCTTAGCAACAAGAGCGTAAGTGAGCATCACAATGATGACCACAAACATGACATGAACCACAAACACCAGATCCAGAATGGCCACAGCCCTCAGCCGGGACTCGTCAAGGTCGCACTTGGTGGACCCCTCTACTCCGCTCACAACATCCAGCAACTTATGGCACCCTTCTGGTATAAACGCCTCTACGTAGAGAGAAAGCCCTGTTTGCAGGTTCCATAGACCCTGCAAGCACAGCGCCGCCCCCAAACCCACCTCGGCTATAAAAAGCTTTGGGTGGCAAGCCAGAATCAGACACATCAAGGAAGCCAAAGAGGAGACGCGGGCCAACAAGGAATCGCATTTGGCTTGGAGATCAGATGTCTGGACATACGCTTCCGCAGTGGAGACAGAGTAGTGGAGAAAGAAGAGAGCAGAGGCAAAGGCGAAGAAGAGATCGGAGGGAAGGGGAAGGAAAGACGTGGATTCAGAGAGGAGAAGGGAAACAGAAAGGATGAAGAAGAGAAACAAAACGGCAGCGGAGAGAAGGGCGGTGAAGCAGTAGACAGGGCTGCGACCCTTGAGGAGAGGATCAGGGTCGGAGGAGATGAAAGATTGGTGGAGAAAGGCAATGAAAAGGCAGAGAATGAGAAGGTAGAGAGGAAGATGTTTGAGGTGGAGATCGGTAGAGAAAGGAAAAGGGTGGAAAGGCTTGGCGGAGTAGGACTGTTGGGATTTGAGGAAGTTACGGCTGGAGCAGATGAGGTGGTAGAGACCCAGAGAGAGAAGCGTGGATGACGCGAATAGCTGGTATATTAGGCCTGCCATTTCCTACTAAAAATACTGTGTATGTTGCTTGCCCTTTTCCTTGTCTCTTCTACTCCGCATACACTCGCCCCGGTGCCAGAATTAAACAGTAACACAAAGGACACAAGACTTGTTTGCACTTTCCACTGGCCGCCTGGAACAAATCCAGCCAAATCAACTATCGGAATCGGGAGTGAGTCATCGATTCGCTGATTTGATATTCGGAGGTTGACCAAACTCTTCTCTTTTCTACTCTGTTTGTATTTCCCACTATTCTGAAGCCCTCAGAAAAGCTTGAACGAGTTTTTCAATTGTTCATACTACTACACGTCCCACTATTCTGAGGCTCCCTAATCTACTTGAGCTTGGTTTTTAACTGTTAACTATTTAATATTGTGGTCTGCTCGACCCACTTTTGGAAGTCCGAATATATATTGGGGCATAGTTTTAACCTGTTTATTTTATATAGGCCCCGCCCAGTTTTCTGAAGCCTTCATATCCACTTGGTCTAAGTTCAATTGTTTCTATTGTTTTCGTCCCAGTTTTCTGAAGCCCGCTAATTAACTTGGGTTACTACTTGGCAAGGAATGTGCCCATTTATTTGTGGAGCCTCTTCGACACTGTTCTTATTCGGGTGAGTTTTTCAACTGTTGATAGTATTACACGGCCCACTATTAACTGTAAAATATTTTTATTATGGTCTGCTTGACCCATTTTTTGAAGTCAGAATATCCATTTGGGCATAGTTTTGAACTGTTTATTTTATAGTAGGCCTCGCCCAGTTTTATGAAGCCTTTATATCCAGTTGGTCTCGGTTTCAACTGTTTATGTTTTTTTCGTCCCAGTTTTCTGAAGCCCGCGTGCTAACTTGGTTTTACTACTTGGCAAGGAATGTGCCCATTTTTTTATTAGGAACATTTTAAGAAGTGATTTTTTTTTTGTATGGACAAAAAATCGATTCTTTTAAGCAGTGCTTTTATTTTAAATTAGACTTAACTTCTTAGAAAGTGTTTGGTATGGTGAAATGTATTTATATTTATAGGATTTCAATTGATGAAAAGTAAATTTTTATGTTTGGTATATTTTATTTGTGAAGATATAATTTCTCACGAATATTATATTCTCACAAAATATGATAATGTAATTTTTGTATAAAAAGATGAGAATGTAAAATATATTTTTCAAAATCCTAATCAACACATTTTCATGTATAGCAATCGTTGTAATGTTATATTGCAAACAATTTAATTCCCAACAATCACATGCTATTGGAATCATGACATGGAAAGACGCCAGAGGCAACTGTAACATTTGGTATATTCAAATTTGTAAGATGGATCAGGCAATTCCATCATAAATTATAGGTGTAGAGAGTTTTAATCACAACTTAAACCATAGAGCTCCAAATTCCAATACTGCCAACCCAAAATTTCATTTAAGACAGCTTAGCTTGATCGCAAGTTATAGAGAAGAGGATGAAGAATTAGTTCCCTTTGGGATGGGAACAAGAAGACTGCAAATCAGTTAGCCACCCGGGCTGTCCTCCTTTCTTAACCAACTCAGGTGGCCTTCCACGTCTTGAACTAGCAGCAACATAAAGGTTAGGGAGGCACGTATGCTTGGGTGCAGAACCCGAGCAACCCCTCCTCCCACCACCAATGTTTTCTTGAACAAAACCAAAAAAAAAAAAAAAAATGGTGAAAGAGGGGCAGAACCTTTTGCGGTAATTGTTTTGTTATTTCAGTTACGCTTACGTTACGTCTGACAAGAACAATATTCAGCTGTATATTCAAGCAGACCCGCTAACTAAATGGCTATTAGATTGACTAATCCTTTATAATAATACGTGAAGTGTCAAATGATTTAATAATCCCTCATGGATGAATCAATATAATTTTGAGTCGGAGTTTGCTTCCAAATATTCTTAAAGTAGTTCTCAAACCTTCTAGGTATCAAAATCACAAACATTCTCAAGCCGTCAAGCGCCCAACTTGAGCCAAACACATAAAACATGGACCCTGAAATTCACATCAACCGGCAAACTACATAGAGCCTGTATAGCCCGCCATAATTTCATAAAAGCACTTGGACGCTAAATGATAAGAATAAGGAGAAAGATTACCAGCATCAACACAAAAATTACCAGCACCCACCAGCACTGCCAAGCCACAATAAGAAACAGGATGTCAAGATGAGATACAAAAGTTAGCAAAATAAGGGGGAAAATAATAATTTGATTATAATACACTTGCAAAAACTTAAGGTAGGGACATATGATATTCATGACATAAATATTTCAAACAGATTTAAAAGATAGCACAATGCAATTTAAAACCTGCAATTTTTACTTCTTTGAATGCTTCATATAGAAAGGAGCATATAATTCCATGCTATAGCGCATTGTGCGTGGGACTTTTCATCAATGTGCTAACTTCAGAATAAATCTTTTGAATATGCTCTTTCTATTGGAAGGCTTTTATAAGGATTGGCCACGTTGTGAATATGCTGCCCCACTACCTATATGTAACTTTGCATACCAGGGACTAAAGATATGGGTTCATCTAATATTTCATGTTAAAAAACAGCAGGGTTATGAACTAGCCAGCGCTATCTTCCTTTAATTCAATCTCATTTATTTCTGGACATATAGATCAGTTGCACTTCAAACCTAGGATTTCTATTACATCCATCCAAATATATGGAATCTCATTTAACCTTTTCTCAACTGTAATAGACCATTTGAGGAAAATAAATCTGGAATAGGTATTTGCATTTTGTCCTCTAATTTCTCACCTATGCTCCCTGCCTTCCTCTTATATCTGTATGTCTTATATCATGAGCATTTACCAGACTCCTACATGCAGCAATTGGAAGTCTTCAACATAAGAAATTCATGCAACTCAGATGCACTATGCACCCTATTTGAAGTCTTCAACATAAGCAAATCATGCACCTCAGATGCACTATGCACCCTTTCAAATGATAGTAGTACACGTGGTATTTATCTTCTTACTCTTTATTGGTTATCCAAGTTTATTTGCAATTCATGCTCTATCATCAAAGCAAGCATACAGTGAATGGATCTGAAAGTTTAATAAATCTTTGCACGTTGCATTTCCTCAGCAAAATTTCAACTACGAATATCACACATTTAATGTTCAATAAAATTATAGAAGTCAACAGTTTACTGCATACCCATGAGGTTCGGGATTTCACACTTTTGGAAGCCTTAGCTAGTTGAACTCTAGCCTGGATTGTTGCAGCAGAGGAAGAATCAATGTTTGATGAAACATCATCTGTTATAACGAAACAAATTATTAGATAATTAAATTAAAAAAGGTAAGCATGTAACTATATTTTGGCATGCAGATCAAGATGCAAAAATGAATTTAATCTATCTCAAGGGTATTTGGCATCTTACCAATGACCACACCCTGCTCATGGACAAGAACAGCAAGATCCTTGAATATTTCAGTTACTTGTCCTATTTGCTCCTCTATTGCTCTGATACCCTGTTCTCTTTCCTCAATCATAGCTTCATTGAAGGCAATTTCATTACCCAGCAATATTACCTCTTGTCTGCACGTTTTCTTAGAGGAAATTGTATCATAAAAAATGCTCGTGCAACACTTTGCAACGAGAAGAACAAATGATAACAAAATGTAGTGGAATGCTGTCTGAGATTCTCAATAATAATAATAATAATAATAATAAATTGGAGAAATTTCATCAAACCTCCGGCACCCAGAAGACAGATACGTACATAGGAGTCAAGCTCAAGAACAATGAATTATTAGGAATCGAGTAAGCCAAATTGATACCTTATGGTTATCTCAAGTGCATTAATAGAAGTAACTGAAGCTATTCTATTCATGACATGTGATGTAGCTGCATAGGTAGAAGAAAATTGACAAAATGGGGAAAGGATGAACTCACCGCCTCTGTTCCATAAAGAAAGGTTGTTTCTCTTGAGGCAGAGTAGGAGCCCAAGAATCATCGGAGCCAGAGCTGCATCGAAGAGACAAAACATTCCAATCTATAACAGGCCAGAAAATTAAATAAATAATAAATGATGCCAAATGTAAAAGAGTGATACGTTGTAGGCAAGGAGGGTGGAGGAGCAGCTGGAGAGTAAGTAGACTCGCGTTCAGAGGCCAGCTGCTGGACTTTCTGAAATTCTTGCAGCGTGTTCTGAAAATCTCTAGCCAGCTTTGCATCTTCTATCTTCTTACTTGGCTGAACATGAAATTTGATGAGTCTTTACTCTTCGCTCAAACTAAAATCTGGAATGAATTAAACATGTGAAAAGGGTACTTGGGAAAATAAACAAGATTAGTGAGAAAAGAAAGATACAATGACAGTAGGGTCATGATCGGATTCACTCAATGTCTTGAGCTTAGCGGAAGTTTCCTTCACTAATTGCAGAATCCTTTGCCTGGTGTTGTGCCTGTTGATCATTTTATTTGCAACTTTGTGAGAACTCATTTTGCTGGAAAAGAAGAAGAAGGATAAATCTTTAATCTGTCACAGTCAGTATATAAGAAAAGATGACAAAAACAGACACTTTTTGGCGGTGATCGGGAGTGTCCTTGGCGGTGCCGATGGCATCTACGAGGCGACGGAAAGCAGCAACAGCAGTGTTGATCTGGAAGATACCGGCTGCCACCGCTTGAGACGGGCTCTTGGACGCCATGGCTGATGAAGATGAGGAGGGGCGACCCCCACTTGGAACGTCTTGGAAGCTCATGCTTGGCTTTCCTTTGGGGTTGCACTTCCCAGAGGAAAAACAGAAACTAAAAGTCCAACTCTTTGCCTAACTAATAAAGAGAGCAGAGATCAGAAAGTTTTGAAAGTACCCCAGGTTAGGCCCCAATAGCCAAAGCCATGCCCATCGACGATGCTATCATGAGAAATTGCGAGTGCTATTATGCTATGCCTCCAACACAACACACAGATGAGGTTTCCTTTTCGGAAGAAATCTGTCCTCTGTTTCTGTAGCATACGTGTACATGGTCAGAAGGGGCCAAATGTGTCACGTACCACACGCCCGAGTCTCAGAACAAGAAGGTCGTATGGGACTTGCTTAAGATGATGCGAGCAAAGCATCAGGAAGGATCGACACCGAGAGCCTAAAAGCAGGTTCGATATCCAAGTGTATAAATCAAAATTAAAGTGTAGAAGTACACTCAAAAGGAGCTACATGGTGTTAGGTACGAAAACTGCTCGTTGAAAGATTCAAGAATGCCCCAAAAGATGGTTCAACATAAAAAGAATATAGAGAAGGCTGGAGATATGTCGGACACGTAAGTATAAAAGGATCTAAATCAGCTAAGAGAAAAGTCAGGGGTGTGTCACAGGCTTCGATTTTAGACTTAAAATTCAGTAACTTTAAACTTAAAATCACTTTTTTGTAGCTTAAGTCAACCTAAAACACTAACGTGTGAGTACTAGAATAATAAGAAGGGCTGAATGCATAAGTCCGAGAAAAACATAAAAATAAGATAGCTTACTGAAATATGTTTTATATTCACTGAAATAGAAGTGTATGATGGTATTTTAGGTTGACTTAGGCTACAATGAGGTGATCGCACGAATTCTGAGTCTAAGGTCAGAGCCCGTGACAGTTGGTATCAGAGTAAATTCGGTTCTGTGTGTTTATGTTGTTTAAGTTAGATCACAGTCGAGGAGATGGCATCCCAGAGTGATGTTGCTAGCCAACAACCAAAGGCCCAAGAACAGGGGCATGGAAGAGACGTTTTTTATAGGATAAAACCGTGAGGTCAAAAGAATCAGAGCAGACAGTACCTTATAAGGATGTGAATCGAGACAGGAAGACTGATATGGAAAACCGGATGAGTGGATACCCGGGTCCCAGAGTCACGCGGGTTAAAGCTTAAGTTTTGACCAGTGACACGTAGGCATGCAAGGTTCCAGAAGGGTTAGGTGCGAGCGTTATAGTGAGTATTATAGCACTCAAACGAGAAAAATTCTAGAATGCCCTAAATATGGGCAAAGTGATGCCCAGATGAAGAAGGCTCTGGAATTCGTTAGAATTTTATAAAGGCCTTAACCAACCCTGTTTGAGTCTGAGGATCTTAGAATTGCCTAAAAAGCTTATGAGAGCCACACACTTGGACTGATAAGCATCATACTATAAGTGAGACTCAAATATAAATAGATGAGCCATCTCTTTCATTTAAATAAGTAAGAAGTGAAAGGTCACAACTTAGATGAAGTATTAAGAACTTAGGCCATAAGAACCATTGTAGAGAACACGTAAGGACTGTGTTTCAAGAATAATTGTACATATCCATCAAGTAAATAAAGTACTCTTGTCTTAATCTCTTTCTTTTTTAACTTTTTCTTAAATTTTTAGGAGAGTAGTTGAGTTTCAGCACAACTGGTAGGTATTGAGTATCAGAAAGGTTCACTTAGGCATATAGACGATAGTTTTTTGCCTAAAGCTGCACAGTAACTAGGTTTAAGCTCTCGGCCTGTGACAAGTGATATTAGAGTAGGTTTCGAACCTTGGTTACGACCAATGTTGGTGTCAGTTCTAGTGTACAAGTAGCTTAGAGTGTTAGTGTGCTAGTTGTACTGTTGACTTACAATAAAAAGTGTTATGCTGGCATTGCTAGTTGTCAATGCTGAGTTTAAGGTACAAGGATGCTTGAGTGCTCCTAAGGAATTTATAAGAAATCCTTAATCCAAGCTTGGTGATTGTAGTTTACATGCTAAAACATGACCAGTGACCTTCAAGTGAAGTGCACGAATGATGTGTAAAAAGCCTGCCCACCCACAAGCAAGGGGAGAAGAGCTAGTTTGAAGGATATATTATTATCCATAGACTCTCGGTTGGCAAATTGCAAGTTATCCATGGGAGATTTAAGGGACCAATTCGAGGACACCAATGATCACATTTTAGAGCTCAACTCCGCGTAAGAGGAGTTCAAAGAAAAGTGCATAGTACCTTGACTAAAGAGATGGAAATGCTCATGCAGCACAATGAGGCTTTAAAAGCTTAGGTGGTAGCCTTGTGAGAAGAATTAGAGCAACTCAAAAGAGAGTTTGCTATGTTTTAAGCTGTTATGGCTGCAAACGGGGGTTTGATACCTAAGGTGGAGGTGCCCAAGCCAAAGTCATTAGCGGAAATTCGCTCTACCCAAAAAATGGATAACTTCATGTAAGGCATAGAGCTATACTTCCAAGTGGTCGGTACAACAAAGAAAGCCAAGGTAAGCATCGTTACCATGTACCTGATTAATATGCCCTATTGTTGTGGCATCGAAGGTGTAACAACATGCAGTGAGGAAAGATTGCAATCACTAAATAAGATCAGTTTGTAAAAGAACTAACAAGACAATTTAAGTCAGAGTATACAGAAGAAGAAGCTCAGGGAAGCTTCATCGGCTCACGCAGAAAGGAAGAGTGTGAGACTATTATTGAAAGTTCTCGAAACTATCGCTTATGGTTCCCAGCATGGGCCAGCAGGAAACCTTGTTCTACTTTCTCGATAGTTGAAGTCGTACACAAAAATCGAGTTAAAGCGACGTAGGGTCCAAGACTTGAGTTAGACAATTGCAATCGTCAAATTGCTGGTTAAGTTTAAGCACACTAAGTGCCCACACCTCTAGTGTGTGCGATTAAATCCACTATACCACCAATTGAATCTAAATGCTAATTTTAGTGAGATCCATTCAACATAAATTTCTCATTAAATTTTTTTTTCAATCATAGTTACAATAATTTTATTACTATTTTCAATCTTACCATAATTAATCTCACAATCCATCGAAATTGAGCCTAAGTCTCACAAGTTTAAAAGCAATGACTTAAGTGGAGAAGAGAATAGTAGCAGTTTCTAATCAGAAGATGAGGCTGATAAAAAGCCCTAGCATCGTAAGACAAGGGCCAAGAAACCTACCAAGGATAAAGGTAAAATGGCCATTACCTTTAGCTACTTCTTTTGTTCAGACCACACAAGCCTAGGGAACACCCACAACGAAAAAAACTTGTAGCCATTGTGGAGACTTATGAAAAATCTAATGGTGAGAATAGCGGTAGCAATCAACATATTGAAGACTCCACTAGTAGGTTGAAGCTCGGTGCTATCCAATTGAGTTGAGAATAGGGGACCTCTTTAAGTCTTAATGAATTTGATAAAAGTATGGCCACACAGAGCCACCAATCAAGCCAACGAGATCAGCGATGTCTGGCCATAAAGAGTCACCAATCAAGCCAAAGGAATCAACAAAATGTGGCCATGGAGAACCACCAGTTGAACCAAAAAAATTAGCTAGACCCCTCCCATTAGAATGCACAGCAAAAAACTCTTAGGAGGAAGTCTATTTTACGACAAACGTGTTGAGGCAAGGTAAAAGAAAAGACGATCACAATTGTGTGCCAATGAGCATCTAAATGAGAGTGGGACATTGATTTAGTGTGCACATGCAGTGAAAGATTGGCATTCCCCCAGCAACGAGGGCATTACTAGAAAGAGTGGGAAGAATGTCATAAATCGCACACAAGTCCTAGACCAAAAGGGTTGTATGACAAAACTTACTCGAGATGGTACAAGCAAAAAACTAGGAAAGATCGACACCGAGGCTCTAAAAGCACATACATTACCCAAGTGTGTAGGTCAAGGCCAAGGCCAGAGTGCAAGTGTACGCTCAAGGTGAGTTGCAGGGTGCCAAGTATAAGGACTGCTCGTTAAAAGGTTCTAGAACACCTTAGAAATATAGTGCGAGCAGTTAGGCACAAAAAGGTCTAAAGAAGCTTAGAGACAGGCTAGGCACATGAACACAAAAGGTTCTAGATTGGCCTAGAGAAAGGCCAAATGCATAGGCACGAAAGGTTCCAAAAGGGCCATGTATAGGCATTATAGCAGCCAGATAATGAAGACTCTAGTAAGGCCTATTCAAAAAAAAGTTATTCAATACTATAGTTAGATGTCAAAGACATCTATTTTTAAAACAAAATGATTAGTGCCTTTATGTCATTATTTATCTATTCCTATATATTTTATAGATTATAATTATCTATATACTGTTATACAAATTTCATAAAAAATAAATAGAGATGGGAAAATAACATAAAATGCTTTTATTCTAGAACAAAAAAAATATATGATATAACATTTTTTTATTTATATTCAACACACTATCCCATAAAAAAATAATTTGTATTTAATTTATTGGTACCTTTCTTTTTTATATCTTCATTCAAATTTATAGGATAGATTATGATCTATTATAACATATAAATTGAATTGATGAAATAAATAAATAAAAAGTTAGTCTTTCTTTTTCTATCTCTGCTTATTTTTTTTATTGTCCTATATTTATAATTTATACATCTCCATTTGTACATGAAAAATACATCTAAACAAAAAATTTTTTTTTTAAAAACCATTTTATCTACCTAATAAAAAACAAACTTGAATTTTTTTTCTATTAATTGGTAATTAGTCAAGCTCGAAAATGGAGTATACCCAATTTTCATTTTCAACCAAATTCAAATGAGACTTGTAATTAATATGTTAAAGGATACATAATTTTGAAAAAAAAAAATAGATTCAATCGGATTCCAAAATTATTCCTCAAATGGACAAGAGTTGACTTATAACCATTAGATTTCATATATCTAATTTTACTTACAAACAGAATAATGCTCAGATAAAGAAGGCTCTGAAACCCGCTAGGTGCGGGCACTCAATGAGAGTGTCTAGGCACTTCCAGACCCAAGACTCATTAAGAAACTTGAAACCAACAGAATTCTAAAAAAGCCTTAACCGACCCTGCTTCAGCCTGAGGACCCTGAGGGTAAGGAAGGCTTAAGCATAAATAGGGGAGCTCTCCCCGTTAAGCAAGAAGTGATAAGTCACAAGTTAGATAGAGCATTAAAAACTGAGGCCTTTAGGGCTATTGTAGAGAACACATAAAGACTGTGTTCCAAGAGTAATTGTACATATCCATCAAATAAATAAAATACTCTTACTTTAACATCTTTCCTTCGTAACTCTCTTAAATTCTTAGGAAGTTATTGAATTTCAGCACAAGTACCAAGCACCGAATTTGAAAAAGATTGACTTAGGATATACAAATGATAATTTTCTGTCTAAGCCCGCATGATAGCTTGGCTTAAACTATCGGCTCAATGCTAATAAAGTGCTAATCTTTTAAAAGACCATTTGGCCTATAAATAAATAAACTGCACTTAGGTATATAAATTCCACCCAGCTCCTTGATGTTCAATTCCGAAATTAATGGATTCGATGTTAATCAAGGACTTGAGTGAAATTTTAACTTTTATTACTCTTCCAATTTCTATTTCTAAGCTAATATATTCACTTGAATTGTACTCATTTATACGGAAAAACTTCGATGTATCATATGCAGTAGGGTAAAACTATCAAGTACTAACTACCTACAGCCCACAGGTCCAGTTGCAGTTGCACCAACCAGTCAGAGGCTCTGCTTCTTGCTCGGCTATTGCCTTCTAGCCCCATTGCTGCTTGCCTGCCAATTGCCGACCCTCATGTGAGCATTAGCCTTCTTAATTGTGTACATCATACTCCATGCCTAATTACATTCCTGTTATTCTTTTTTCATTCTATATTCTTGGTTAAAACCAGAATTAACTAGAAAATAGAAGAAAAAAGTACATTAAGAGTTTAGGGAAAGCTGCACAGAAGAATAATAATTATAATATTGGCAGCATAATCACTGTTCTTTTTTCATTCTTTTCTTTTTCATTTTTTTTTTTTTCATTATTATGGGTTTGCTGCGGATAATTACATTTGTAAATGTTCATCTTCAAAAAAAATGCAATGCAATCTCTGCACCAAAGTATACACAGACTCACCACTTCCTGCTTCTTAATATCAATAATACGTAGACACTGGAGACCATTCTATACAGAGCCAAGCCCCAAATTAAACCCAGCAATGACAATCAAACACTTACAGCTTCAATGCAATTGTTATGAGCAACATGAAGCTACCAACCCAAATGCTCTTTTTCAACGTCAGAAACATACATCCTTGCGATGCTAAGCTTATGGCAAGGAACCCGTATAACTAAATTGTAACGTCATCAGAAGAAAGACATCCATTAAAAGCAGAAGCACAAGGAAGTTGGCTTGCTTAAAGTGGCAACCTTATATAACCTGCAAACGGAGTGCCAATCAGAGGCTATGATAATTACACTAACAAATTGGGACAACTTCTCATTTTCTTACCTCAAAACAGTGCACCAGTGCAATCTTGATTCCTGATCAGATCCTACCACATCACAGACTATATTCCTAAGCATATACAAATGGCTGTTGGTTTCTTTTCTTGTCCCGCATCCACATTTGATTTCTACAAGGGCCCAAAACGCATTGGAGCACATGAGATTATGGGCTTCCTTCTCAGAAATTCATAGAGTGCCTTAGTGCAACTTTGCAATCTTAATCTTCATGGTAAAGGAAGCAAATAACGGCAAGTCTAATATACTACACTCTACAATCATATCTAATATTTAATAAGAGCGGGAAGCGAAGCATGAAGTTCTGCCAAGCATTGAAAGATCCAATTTAGCAATTGCTCTCGTGGCAGCTCCAGAAGAAGTTCTGCCTGCAAGATACACAAAAAAAGAAACAGAGAATCAATATATATTTAACTTCAAAAGAAGAATTTTAAATCCAAATTCCTGTGTGGTTTTGCTAGTCGGCAATCCATGATGCTATGAAGTTTAGGTTGAAAACTATTTATTTCCTAACAAATCTTAAAAAACTTAATTGATCCAAGGATGCAGAGTATTATCACTCTCTTGACAAGAATAGCGTGCCTGAAAAAAGGAAACTAGTCAACATTTGAGCTGGTGATCACAGACACAAACACTATAAGAAATATAACATAATTACCTTTATTCGGTCTTCCTCAAAAAGCAAAGAATTTCGGTATACATCAGATATCATGGAATCCGTCATCAGCTTGAAAACCCCCTTACTCATATTGGTTTTCATGCCAACCATCTTTCCTGAAGCATAGATTCTGATGATCCCAAGATCTGCTGCCATTCGCCTTACATAAAGCTTCTTCAAAAGAATTCCCATGGAATAAGGCTCTTTTCCATATTGACGGCGAAGATTCTCTGTAAATTGCATTAAACTCCAGATATCTTTCTCAGCTGCTTTCTCAGCTTCAATAATGGTTTCCATAGGGTTCTCTAGATAATTTATGTACTCAGAAGGGAGACGAGGGTTTATATTTATATCAATCTAGTAAATAAAAAATCACAAAAACAAGTTAGGATTCATAATCACTGTCATAAACTGGTACAACTAAAGTTTACTCTAGGTTGGACTTCACTTACCCACCAACTAAAATCAAATGTGGTATGGTCTTTAAGTATGCTTCTGAAAACTATAGACAGGTTTATTTATGAATAAAACTATGAGGAACAACATGAAGCGATCAAAACAACTGATTATTTCATAAGGTGAAACAACAGGTCAAAGAAAACCAAACTAAATGGATACACATAAAAAATGCAGCAATGCAATCATGCATAGGCACTTATTTACCTAATGCTACCAAAAAAGATTGATTCTCATGTATCAACAGAATGTTTTCCCTTTGTTGGTTTGAAACACTAACCAAGAATTTAGCATTCCAACTCTTGGCCACTCTCTTTGAAGGTATAGCTCTGAATACAGCAGTGATCTCAATTCTTAGATGAATTGGGTGAGAAAAATGTATGATCAGTCATTAAGATAAGTAGAAAACTTAAAGAACAATTGCCCTTATTTCTTTTTATTCAATCTACAATGAAGGAGCACATCAAAATAAATAGGAACAGTGAAGTTTCTTATTAGGAAACAATTTAAATGAAATAGAAAATAATAAATAATAAATAATAAAAGGAAGGAAAATTATTCTATTCTAGAATAGAAACAAATCCCTAAAAACTTGACAATTAGAATAGTTGACTAAATCAGAAAAGTAAATGAGAAATATTCCCAAAATAAATTAGGAAATCAAGCTGCACTAATGTAGGAGAATCGAATCTACACTAATGTAAAAGAATCAGATTTCTACGCTCCCCCTCAAGCTGGGTTATGAATCTTAATCATTCTCAGCTTGGGTTTCAAACCGTCAAAAATGCTTCTAGGAAGAGCTTTAGTCAGAATATCTGCAATTTGTAAACTTGTAGGGATATAAACCAGTTTGAGCAACCCATTTTCTATCTTTGCCTTTATGAAATGTCGGTCCAACTCTATGTGCTTGGTTCTATCATGATAAACAGGATTTTTGACAATACAGTGTTATAGATGTCACAATTTGAACTTTTAATTCTCCAAGTAACCTCATCAGCCAAATTCCTTCACAAATACCATGGGACATTGCTTTAAACTTAGCCTCAGCACTGCTCCTAGATACAACAACTTGCTTTTTACTTCTCCAAGTGACCAAATTTCCCCAAACATAAGTGCAATATCCACTAGTGGATCTTCTATCAATTACTGATCCAGCCCAGTCAACATCTATGTACACCTCAACTGCCCTATCCATTGACTTCTTAAAATGTAGACCTTCACCAGGACTCTTCTTTAAGTACTGTAGGAGGCAATGAATAGCCTTAAAATGCTCCTTGGTTGGATTATTCATACATTTACTCACCATCCTTACTACAAACTCGATATCAGGTCGTGTGGGAAAGGTAAATAAGCTTCCCAACTAGTCTTTGGTATCGCCCTTTGTCAGTGAGAGAACTTCCATTTTCACTTCCAATTTAATTAGTTGAGACCACGAGTGAATCGACAGGTTTGCATCCAATCATGCCGGTTTTTTTGAGTAGATCAAGTACATAGTTACGCTGAGACACTGATATTCCATTCTTAGACCAAGCCACTTCCATCCCAAGGAAATATTTAAGCAACCCCAAGTCCTTTTTTTGAAACTCCTTTGCAATGAGTTTCTTCAAATCATCTATTCCTTCCTTGTGGTCCTTGGTGATTATGATATCATCCACATAAACAATAAGAATAACTCTTTTTCCTTCATTAGTGAACTTAACAAACATAGTATGGTCAAACTAACATTGAAGGAATCCATACCTCTTCACTGCCTTAGTCAATTGTTCAAACCAAGCCTGAGGAGACTATTTAAGTCCATACAAAGATTTTTGGAGTTTGCACACTTTGCCCATGTTGTCTTGCTTTTCGAAATCAGAAGGAATTTCCATGTAGACATCCTCGTCCAAGTCACCATTTAAGAATACATTCTTGATATCAAGTTGGTGGAGAGACCAATCCAAGTTGGCTGCTAGTGACAATAGAACTCTAATTGAATTAAGTTTGGCTACTAGAGCAAATGTCTCCTTATAGTCTATCCCTTAGGATTGAGTGAACCCTTTGCAACAATTTTGGCTTTGAACCTGTTTATATTTCCATCTACATTGTGCTTTATTGTGAAGATTCACTTACATCCAATCAGGTTTTTCCCTTTGGGCAAATCTCAAATATCTAATGTCCCATTTTTCTCTAGTGCCTTGATTTCTTCAAGAACTACTGCCTTCCAATCTAGTTAATTGAGGGCTTCCTGAACAATTTTTGGAATTTGCACATTGTCAAGGTTAGTAGTCAAGGCTCGAAAGTTTGGATTTAACCTGTAATATGAGATGCACTTGCAAATAGGGTATCAGGTGCATGATCTCACATCTTTTCTTAATGCAATAGGAATGTCAAAGTCACCAGCTGGCTCACAAGTTTCAGTTTCAGATTCAATAAGGACATTACCTGTGTTGGTTTCAGGTTCTTAAAGTCTCAGATGAGGTTGATTTTTAGTGCTGGGCTATGTACAGTTGTCCACTTCTTCCTATGGTTTTTGCTTCCTTGAGTAGATTATCAATTTTATTGTTTTTTTCTTGCATAACCTTAGGGTTTGTAAAGTCAAGAGTTGTTTGAATAGGTTGGGTTTTGGAATCTGCATGGCTAATAGGTTGGGTAGGTTGAGAATCTAGTTTTGAAAGGGCTGGTTGAGATTCTAGTTTTGAAAGGGTTGGTTAGGAATCTGGTTTTGAAGGGGTTGGTTGGGAAATTGGCAAGTCAACAGCTAAGAATTGATATTCCTAAGTAGTATTCTCCCCCTGAATATCATTTTTGCTGTAGTATGGAAGATTCTCAAAGAATGTGACGTCTATAGAGCTATAGAATTTTTTTGTAATGGGTGAGTAACACCTATAGCCCTTTTGGTTTGGGGAATAACCAAAGAATATGCATTTTAAGGCTTTGGGATCAAGCTAGCTGTGGTTTTGTTGGCTAATATGAACAAAGGCAATGCAGCCAAAAAGTTTGATAGGAATGGAAGAGATCAACTGAGTTTGTGGGTAGGAAGCAAGAAGAGTTTGACAAGGTGTTTTAAAGCCAAGAACTCGAGAAGACATTCGGTTAACCAAATAGGTTGCAATGAGTACAACTTCTCCCCAAAAATATTTAGGCATATGGGAAGTCAAAAGGGATCTGGTCATTTCTATCAAATGTCTGTTTTTGCGTTCGGCAACCCCATTTTATTATGGAGTGTCAACGCAAGAGCTTTGATGGATAATGCCATGATTGATAAGGTAAGGGCCGAGAATAGAGTTGAAGTATTCCCTTCCATTGTCAGTTTTTAGGATTTGGATTTTGGCTTGGAATTGGGTTTGTACCATGCTAATGAAGTTTTGAAAGATTTGGCTAACCTTGGATTTTTCTTTCATAAGGAATACCCAAGTGAGTCGAGTATGATCAAGGATGAATGTAACAAACCACCTAGAACCTTTGATATTGTTAACTCTTAACTTTCCCCAAATGTCGCTGTAAATCATTAAGAAAGGTTGAGATGATTTGTAGGAAACGCTAGGATGAGTATTTCGAGTGTGCTTGGAAAGTTGACAAATTCCACACTAAAAATCTTTAGAGATGTTATTGAATAACGAGGGAAATAGCCTTTTTAGGTATGAAATATTTGGATATCCTAATCTATAAATACCATAACATGATAAGGTCATCCTTACTAGTACTAGAGGCTAAGGCTTTATAGGAGATTTGTGATCTCTCAAATGCATCATCTTGAAGAAGGTAGAGCCCTACACATGTCCTAGCACTGCCAATAATCCTCCCCAAGCCCAATTCCTGAAATTCACACAAGTTGGGGAAAAAATTTAGTGACACAACATCTATCTTCGTAAGCTTACTGATGGAAAGTAGGTTACAGCTTAAATTAGGGACATGGAGGACAAAGTTGAGTGTTATGTCTTTCAAAACTACAAAAGAACCTGTTCCTACCACCTTTGAGAGAGAGCCATAAGCAATTTTTATAGCAGAACTATCATAGCAAGGTCTACATGTGTTGATTAAAGATGCATCTCCAGTCATGTGATCTGATGCTCCTGAATCATCAATCCAAAATTGTGTACTTCCCTGTTGAACACTTGAACACTTAAGGCGTTTAGGAAATTACTTTTTTGTGCTAGTAAACTAGTTCCAAAGATTGCAGACTTGTTTTGAAGGGTTTGTTGGAGCATCACCTCTTTGTGACTTTCCTCATGCCATACCTCTACAGAAGAAGAGTTTTTAGTTATGCTAGCCATAATGGAAACTCGTGTTGTTACAGTCTAATGGTTCAGGCCGACATGCTCTGATACCATGTAGAAAACTTAAAGAATAATTGTTCTTATTTCTTCTTATTCAATCTACAATGAAGGACTACATCTAAATAAATAGGAACAGCAAAGTTCCTTATTAGGAAAAAATTTACATGAAATAGAAAATAAAAAATAACAAAAGGAAAGAAAATTGTTCTATTCTAGAATAGAAACAAATCCTTAAAAACTTAACAATCAGAATAGCTGACTAAATCAGAAGAGTAAAGGAAAAATATTCCCAAAATAAATTAGGAAATCAAGCTGCGTTAATGTAGGAGAATCGGATCTGCACTAATGTAGGAGAATTAGATTTCTAAACGATATAGTTGTCAATAAAAAATAAAGCATTTTTGCTTGTTATATTTGATATCATAAAATAACATTATTTCCAATTTATATGCTTGATGGAATCCAAAACCCTAATAACCCATATTGTATGATCTCATTTACTGTACAGATAGTAATTGATGTTAAGAGCAGCCACATATTTTATTCTCGGATGATACAAATTCCAAAGGAAGTAAAGTACCTGCACTGACTGGTAAGGAACTGAAACTACACGGTGTTCTTCAACCTGGAAAGTGAGTCATAATTAGTGAAAGTCAGAAATTGTAAGCCAAAACTGTGGTACCAGTAGCTAGAAATCTGGAAAGCTTAAAAGTAATGAATATCAACTATCAGATTGGTAATTGCCTGTTAAATGATAGAGAAAAGCCTTGAAGTTCTATCACATCTTATAATTTAACTAGTTGGACAAATATAGAGGACAGAAGAATGGAGAAAGAGAAGGCATCCAGGTAGACAGCAACAGTTAATTCCGTTAATCAACCCTACCAAAGAAGTGGACCTAGAACATACCCTGGACAAACTCTCAAAAAGCATCTCAAAGAAAAGATCAATGCCAACATTTCCAACATCCCCTGTCTGTTGCTCACCAAAGATGGTACCAAAGCCTCTGATACCCATGTCTCTCTCTGCAAGTTGAAAACCTTGGCCAAGTTCACGGCATTCTTCAAGAGCTGCGAGCCTCTCCTGAAGCATAACCATAAAAATTCCAGGTCACTTCGATAATTGTATTTCAGCATATTTGACAACAAAAATGAAGGCAGACATTGAATACATACCATCGCTTGGTCAGATAGCAAGGACTTATCAGGGTAAAATAAGTATGCATAAGCTTCTTTATCTGCCCGCCCCACCCTTCCACGCAACTATTGGAATTGAAAGAATGATAACAAAATTAACAGTGGAAACAGGAGATGCAAAACTACAGAAACTATTTCGTTTTCTCTGTTCCGAGAATGAACAATGTTGCAGTAAGTAAAATGGTGTCCATAAATCCTTCTGAACAAGAAACACGGCAGAAAATTCTTTCATGATAGAAGATAAAAAATCACACAAACCCACATACAGAGAAACATGTGCTGCATAGAAAGACCTTTAATTTCGCATCATTATTCCAGATAAAACATAAAAGGAAAAGTTATAATGTGCCAAGATATTAGTGTATGCCCTTTACATCATTTTCCAGATAAAAACTTTGATAGTGCTCTTCAACGTTTACCACATCTTTTACAATTCATAAGAACATGTGAGAAAGGAGAAGCAAAAACTGCTTGACCTGATACAACTGTGCCAGGCCAAATAGTTGAACATCCTGAATTATGATAGTGTTTGCATTTTGAATGTCAAGCCCACTTTCAACTATATTTGTGCATATAAGAATTTTAATTTCACCCTGGGCGAATTTCTCCATGGTTTCCTCAAGCTGCTTGGAATATTGCTGCAAGAGGAAATTAACAGGTCTGAAGAACCAAAATAATATCAACTGATAATAAAGAAGAGATTAACTTGGGTAAAATAGTTTACTTTTAAGATTCCAAAAATGAAAGCATAATGTCCCCAAATTAAGACTATCATATATATTATACACAATTCAGTTCTCAAAAAACAACACTGGTAACACTCCATTAGTGTCTCGGGAATCGTAATTCCGGATTTCAGTAGATTGTTGAAACTAAAACATAATTCAAACATTAAAAACATGAAATACCTTCCCATGTGCAATAGCTATATCAACATCAGGAAATGATTGTTCAAGGAAATCCATCACTTCTTCCAATCCTGTTACATAAGAACAAGATCTACATTAATAAACTGAATAATAGAAACATAAAGCAACAGCATAAATGTATATATGCTTGGAAATCATCGACACAACACACCCTTGGTAGGTTTCTGGTTATTAATCATTGAGACCTTTTCCTTTGTGTCTTTTTTAACTTTCCTTTTTTTTTGCATGTAAATAGGACTTCTAAATTCATCTAACTAATAAATTAGCTCTGTGATTCAAACTCATTACACAATACTTATTTTTCCACAAATACACAAACAATAGATAGATATGATTATCGATATTAACACTTTACAGGAGCAACAAGCCAACAATACATATTTGCCCCAAAGAAGTACTATCACAAAGTTACTAAACCATGTAGATGATGACAATATAGCAAGAAAGTTCATAAGTGAAACAAATAGAAAATTTTGGATTAAGGCATTACCTTTGATACGAGGTAAGACATAGAAAACTTGACCACCACGGTCCAGCTCATACTGGATTGCTACAATGACCTTTTCTTTACCAAATGCTGAAAGACAGGTTCTGATAGGAACCCTTTCTGGAGGTGGTGTTGAAATTAAACTGAAAGGGAAGAAGGAAAGAAAAGTATATACCATGATTTATAGGACAAGTAACCTAAAATGAAAGTTTAAGGAAAGGTCCCTATGCTATTAAAATGATTGCTTCATTGCTTGCAGATAATTTATTCAAGGCTAAGAATGAATACAAACTAAATAGCCTCTGACTAGGTTCTTCAAGTATGAAATATAATTCTAACAAGCAAGTCAATCTTTACTTAGAGATACAGCTTGGCCCAGTTTCATGAAGCTACTTAAACAATATCCATCCCTCACCCATGAGGTGATTTGCAAGCATGCCTAGAGATGATTTGATTCCAAAAATGTAATGATGGTAGTAATTACAAAACAGTTTATTAGTCTATATTTTCTACGGTAAGGACAAAGTTCGCATGTCCTAATGCAATCCTCAAAAACCATTGATTCATGTTTATACAAAAATGTGTAACATAAGACTTGGCACTGATAAGATCTACATTGCACATAAAATGTATTAGTGTTTTTTCAGCTAAAATCTATCATCTGAGGCTTACACACGTCAATGGCATGGTTGATAAATGCATCCTTTTTCACCAAGGCATCACAATAAACAAACTGAACTGAACATCTGAATCCTGGATTAAATCTGGCACCAAAGATGCTTGTGATTCAAAAATTTGACATACATATTACCTTGCATCACGGAATCCTGTCAAAGCTAAATAAAGCGTTCTGGGTATAGGTGTTGCAGAGAGAGTAAGAACATCAACTGAAGTTTTAAAAGAAGCAATCTTCTCCTTTTGCTTGACACCAAACCTCTGTGTAGCAAAAAAAAACATACAAACAAGTAAATCAAGCATCTCTCTGCAGACACGCATGAAAAGTATGAGCTAAAAGACAAAATATTATTGCAAGTAATTCAGTATTCTGGACACATGGTGTTCCCTAAACCCTTTAATATATACAAACATGAAATGATGATGATGCTAATTCATTTCATTATGTTTTATTGAATAAAAGATCATAAAGGAGGTCAAAACCATAATCGTGCACTCTAGTTCATTACATAAAGAAAGCTAAATCCTACAAGAATTGAAGTATATTAAAACATAAAAGGGGGAAATCCTTATGTAAAATCTTTTGTTTATACAGTCAAGAACCTGTTCAAAACAATAGCAACAAGGATGGGAGGCAAACCTGTTCCTCATCAACTACAAGCAGGCCTAGATTATTATACACAACACGGCTTCCAAGAAGTGAGTGAGTTCCTACAATAATGTCCAAATTACCCTTTTTTATCATGTTCAAATACTCCTCCTTTTCTGCTTTACTCTGCATGTGAAATAGGTCTTATCAATATCAAACAGTAGCCATTATGAAATATTCCAGTCTAGCATAGTTTTCCAATAATATAACAGAAGTGAGAAAGAAACTGAACATACTTTAAGCTTTCAGGTAAACCCTATAAATACAATTCATGACACAAGCCTCTTGCCATGATCTGTTTATTATGCAAGCTGAAACCCCCATGTGCTTAAGAGGGAGCTTTTAAGATGTTCTGGATTAGAAAGTATGTCAATGGACTCTTCCCACCCCCACCCCCCACCCTCATCCAGTCCAGTACTTTTCCTCAAGTTCAAGTAAGATATTAAGCCATGTGATACCAATCTTTAGTCAGAGAATGTGGTCAATCCAGTGAATAAACTTCTTGTACCTGAAACCGACTCAGAAGTCCAACCTTGATACTCGGATACTTGGAAAACCTCTCTGAAATGACATCAAAATGTTGCTTGGCTAAAACAATCGTGGGCGCCAAAACCATAGCTTGCTTCCCTGCTGACACCACACAAAAGATAGCACGCAATGCAACTTCTGTTTTGCCAAACCCAACATCTCCACATATTAATCGATCCATTGGAGTTTCTCTCTCTGTTAAGTCCTTCTCTACATCAATAAAAGCCTGCAACAATGGACTTACTTTTGTTAATGGAAGAAAAACATTTTTCTTGTCAAAGGAAATCTTTGAACCTTATGGCGACTGCTGAAAAAGAAGTAATAATTTTTTTTTTTTGGGAAATGAGACATTGAAAATTTTCAAAACATCAAAAGGAAAACGATCCAAAGCAATTAAACAATAAGAGAGATGACTATTTGATTCCTCATAACGTGTACAAGAAAACCTACCAAACGTGCAGCTGAGTAAGACAACAGGTACCTGCTTTTGATCTGGTGTGGGTTCATACAGAAACTGAGCTGCAAATTCAGCCATGGCAGGACTCGTTGGGTAGGGAGATCTTTTTTGTTTGAGCCTATGCAAATAGAGCTCCATTAAATCTACAACCATCTTTTGAATTGCGACCTTCCCTTTGGTCTTTCTCCTCTCCCATACACTAGTATCATTTAACTTGCTCAAAGCCCTAGGCTTTTTTGTTTCATTTGGGCTGGAAATACGACCAAAACATGCCTTAATACACACGATTCAAAATTGTTTTGACATGTCAACTATAATATGCTAACACAGGAGCAGATAAAAGTAGAATTTATCCAAAAATAGGAAAAAGGAGGCAGAAAAACCTACAGATTATATCGATAAAGCATGCGAGAAGCCTGCTTAACAGGAAGCTTAGCCATACCATCAGCATACTCGATAAAGACGTACTCAATAGGCTCAGTAGAAGCCTTACGAACATCAAACTTAATCCCAACAAATCTACCAACACCCACTTTCTTGTGAACAACATAGTCCCCAGAACGTAGCGTGTAGGGATCAACCTTGTAGCTAAAGACACCTCCTTCCTTATTCTCCCTATACCCTTTGAGCTTCTCCAATCCCTTTTGCTGCTGCTCTTTCACCATCTGAATGTACTTGTCAGCCTCTTGGGAATCCATTACAGGCCTTGTGGCCTCTTTCTTGCCGTGGTCACGGCGTATCCTTTCGTTGAGAATGGAGATGGCATCAGTCTCAAGCTCTATCTTTTCTCTTTTTGGAGCCAATTCGTGGGTGTTGAGACTGGAGATGGAGAGACCACCTTGAGTGTGGACAGCCATGGTAGTTAATAGAGGAAATGAGGATTGAATTTTGCGTCTCTGTTTGTAAAGTAAAGGGCGGTTGACAGTGAAAAGGGTCCAGAGAGAAGGAGAAGAGCTGAGATTGAGCACGAGAGGCATGGACACTTCCGGTACAGGAAGGAGGGAAGCCATTGTTAAAGAAGAAGAATAAATGAATTTATTTTTAGAGAAAAGAAGAGAAATTGCGCATTTTTTGGGAAGTAGAATAAACAAGAGCTATAAAAGAGAGGATAAAACAGAAGGGGGTTTAAGAGGGGTTTTACACTATTAGTCAAAATTTGGGATATTATCGATTATCAAATCTTTTTTGTTTATGGACAGATATTTTCTCCACCGCGCACTTGGCCTTCACTTCGTACTCATATTTGTGCCCTTCCGGTCTTTTCACTGGTGTTTGGGCGCCGTACTTGTGGTTGGCTTTTGACTTTCCAGAACTGACTGAGGATATTAGATATCCTACCTTTCCTTTCCCATTGCTTGGAAAGCAATAGGCAATAGTATTTCTTGTTTTCTTTTCCTCCCCTTTTTTTCTTTTTTTTTTTTGGCTTTATTATAATTTCTTTCTTTTTATTTGGGATAAAGGAGGCGTTTTATCTATCCAAAGAAAACTTTAACAGAAGATTGTGTCGTCGAAGTGACAAAACAAGAGAAGAGGCGGCTGATAATACAAGAATGTAATCAACTGATGTTGCCTTGCTCACAAAATTTACTTGATAAAATTAATTAATTTCACTTGCAGAACACATCCTACAACAAATTCAGTTATATATAGTGTTATTCCAAAACAAGTGACATATTTTAAGTTATCAATTTCAGTTGCAAAAGATTATGGATTGAATTGCTTGTTGGAATATTTAACAACTATTATCTTTTACGAATTCAAGTTACCAATTAGTTCATTCAATAAAAATACAATTCCATTCAAAGGATGAAAAAAAAAAAAAAGAACGAAATGAAACTAATTAACTTCCGACATCTAATAGGAATCTCTCTCATAGTTTTCCCCCTGGCCAAAAGTCAAGCTAATATGGTGTTTGATATACCCACAAAATCTGAAAAAGCATAGATATGGTTACAGTAATTATGGTGCTATGTGATGGGAACAAGAGGAGGTCGGCATAATCTTCAGCTGAATTTTTAGAATTTGGAGAACCTGAAACAGAAACAAAAATTTAGTTATACAACGTGTCAAGCAAAGAAAATAGAATACTAGTACTAACACTACTACTAGTACACTGTATTGACAGAAGTAGCTGGGAAAGTATATCCGATTATAAGAGGCAACACATACCTGAAAGGCAAAGAAGTGGGCTGACATGCAGCCCGCACCATCCAGGCAATTGTTGTGCTTCTGTCACATTGATGCCTGCCGACTCAGCTTCTCTGCTATCCTTGTTGCTTAACATACTACACATGCATTCTGGTTTCTATTTGATCACAGATTTCAGAGGATCACAGCAGCTATCGGGCACATCTCCATTTCCTTTAAGGTAATTCAGGCAAGGAGCAAGCTGGTTTAGACATAAGGAGGAATCCTGGCTCCATCCCTCGGTACCAAATTTGCGAGAACCACAAGTATAGCGCCAAAGCACGCCCAAAGCTTCATCCGCATCCTGGTTTGCCATCAATTTGCCAACTCTAGTAGACTTATATATAAAGTTTGTGACTCATGAGTTGGTGATCCAACTTCTGCCATGCTAGTTGAGTCCTACTTTTTTGCTTCATTTTGTTTTGGGCCTTGGGGACCAAGGGCTGACATTTGACGGAGGGCGGCAGTGGCCGTTGGATTGGTGAAGCTACCTTCAAACTACTAAAAAGAGAAGAGAGGCTTGTGGAGTGGGTATGTGGCGAACGTTTAAGAAATGCTCACCATATGTAGTAAGAGTAACCAAACCTTATATCATAAGCCGCCAGCCCTTGAATGAAGGCCTAGATACGTATCAGCCAACAGCAGAGCAGGAGATGAACCCAGGGCCAGATGTGCAATTGGTGGCTACGCCTAAGCGCACCGATAGTAGATGTTTGCCAATACCAAGTCTGCACTCTAGTGTAGGCCAATGTTAAAAGTCTTAATAATGTTAACTAACAACCATATAGTTATAGTAAAGCAATTTCTTATTGGTTGATACTTGATAGTTCATCCATCCCTGTTTAGTAAGCTAACCTATGAGCCAACCCAGACGTATAGCAACCAGATCTCCATCCCAACAACAACATACAAAGCCTAGTAAGCCTGCCTTGCCTTGACTTAAGGGGAACTTTGGAAATCCTTTCTCGTATTACATTAGCATTCCATGCTTTTCACGGACAAAAAGCCCTCTGCTAAGGCACTGCTTAATTTCTTATACGTGTCCTTGATTTTTTTTTTTTTTTTTTGGGTTCCTGACAAGAAAAAGACACAGAGGGTTTTGGCTTTTAAAAGGCCAAGCGGATTCCTAGCGTTTGGACTTTGGAGGGACTCGTGCCTTTTCTCTTTATCTCATTTCTTGATGTTATTACCAGTTTCCAAATAGTAAAATACTTAAAAGTCCAGATCTCAAAGAAATGTTATTGTTATCAGGTGAACAATAATAATAATAATAATAATGACAGAAAATGTCATTTATCTATGTGCAAGGAAAAGGTGGCTAACTAAAATGAAAGTTTCTGGATGAACTAACAATATCCAAAAGACCCACGAACCCTCAGATTTCAATGAGCCTTCATATTCCTATGTAGAGGCAACAGCTACCTCGACATTTAGCCTTACAGATTCTTCTAAAATGACTAGACATAATATATCATTCCAACTTCAATGAGATTGATGTGAGGAATGTTTAGTGCTACGGCGGGGCCCCTGCAGTTCTTTCGAAGAAATGAATACCCCATATCAATCACAAGCTTTTTCAAAAATGATGAAGTTCTCCTGGCCTTTACATACGAGTGGCCCATTATATATGCAACACCTGCTTCCTTTGCCTGGATCAAATCCATCAACTCTTCCCTAACGGAAATATCCATACCAGGACTTTTTGGTAGTTGAAATCTCACATGGCACCTCCTTACTTGTGGATTCTCATCATCATAAGCAGATCTCAAGCTCTGTAGGGTTAAGGATTTGCTGCTTTGGATTGAGTTGCTAGCACTGCAATCGTCTATCTCAGTAACTACTAAACTTGAGCTTGATTGGATGCTCCTGGTACTTATAACAGCCATCCTCCCATCATAGGATGAACTCTCAGAACTACAAAATTGTGGTTCTCCAGCCTCCATCTGGATGAACTCTGCTATGCTTTGTATAAGCTGGTTCTCAAAATCCCCATCATCCCGCTGGATATCTTTGTAGCCATATCTGACAATACACCTGTACATTCGATATGGCCTGGGGCAAATCCGACCAATAAGAAAGCGTTCTTCTGGTGAAACATATGGGACAGGAACTGATTTCACACAAACAAAAACTAACACCTTATGAAAAGCAGGCAGGTTCGTCACAAAGTGGGAGAAGATTGCAGGGACTCCTGTCGCCAATTCAGAGTATACAAGGCCTATTCCAGGCACGCGGACAATACCAAGGCTAGGACCCAAGCCAAGCAACCATTTCAATGATACTTTGTTATGCAGGTCAAAGTTGTACTTTTTGCGAGTCCCATAGTGCCAAATGTACATAACCATCATAAAGATGAACGACAGCACAAGAGGCACCCATCCTCCTTGAGGCACTTTCGTGAGTGCTGCTGATAAGTACACCCCTTCAATAAACCAGAAGAACAGAAGGAACATTGCAGCAAGCAAAATGTTTTTCTGCCAAACAAAGGTTATCACAAGTGCCATGAGAAATGTTGTAATGAACATCACCGTCATGCATGCAAGTCCTGAAAACCAAAACCAAATATGATACATCAGCACCACAGACAAATAAGACAGGCAAGTTGACGCAACTTGCAAGGAACTATCTCTATAATCTGAACTACATGATCAAGAACTGTACTTTTAGTGTACACAAACCATAAAAAATCATTAGTAGACAAATATCTCAAGAGTGATGGATATAAGAGGAAAAAATCATAAAAAAACCACAAAATTGATAAATTAGAAAGTTTTCTCCTGTAACTACTTTAGTCTTCACATATTTTCCTCTTTACAATATTCTTTGCAGCATCTATGGTACGAAATTGATCAGCTTTATCCCCATAAGAGAAAGGAAGAACACAAGAAGTAATTTAATTATTATTCAATCATATTTTTCTCAAGAACATTTGAGGAGAAAGGGATCATTTATCATAGAATGAATTACCATAAGCATTTCCGATTAAAGTTGTATTTTGAAATCCAATAGTTATGACAAGAGTAAGGATCATGAGTATCCAGTTTATTTCTGGGATGTAGATCTGGCCATATATATGTTTTGAGGTGTGAACAACTTTGACTCGAGGAAAGCATCCAAGGGCATGGCATTGTTTGATAATAGAAAATGTGGCAGTTATAACAGCCTGACTCCCGACAATAGCCGCAAGGGTGGCAATTACAAAGACAGGCCAAAAAACAGGACCTGCGAGGATAAAAGGAAAATTTACACAAACTTAAATGTTATAACAATGCTTCGAATCAACACAGTTGATATCAGATTGCACTAACCAGGAATTGAGTCATAAAAACTGTTAGGGATTGAATGGAGGTTTCTTGACAAGAACGCAGCCTGACCCATGTATTGTACAACCAAACATGGGTATATTACAAATGCAAATGCAAGCTGCACAGCAGGAAAATTATCAAGTTTCTAACTTTTATTTAATTCAAAACACAAGTTCATTATTGAGCTCGACCAGATAGCAGAAGATGGCAAGAGGATAGAAGTCTACATTCAATCCAAAATCTACTTTCACACTTCAGGAGTGAAAAAATATGAACAAAAGGAAGAGTTACACTCACCCTAATTGATAAGGCAGTGAAATGACCAAGGTCCGCAAACATAGCTTCAGTACCTGGTGAGACCCAAAAAGTGCACATGATCAGCACATTTAAAAGAGCAACCACAATATCAACTTGGTCAATTAAAATAAAAGCCACGCCGTATTCAGTTGATATCCAGATTCAACCTACCAGTTATTGAGAGAAGGACCCCTCCAAGAGAAATCCAGCCATCTTTACCAGTCTCTCTAAAGAACTTGATAATATAATACGGAGAAACAGCACAAACAATCTTTGGGTTCCAACGTATTATGTTGTATAAGCCAATGGAAAAAATTGATACCAGCCAGATGATCACAATTGGTGCAAACATAAAAGCTACCCTGTGCGTGCCAAAATGCTGCAGAGCAAATAGGCCCACCAAAATAACACAAGCAAGCAAGAGGAGTTCGCCTAGGTTCAAAACAAAGCCAATTCATTAAGCCCTATGGAAAAAAGGAAATATCAAGAGGAATTGTGAACCCAAAACTTAAAAGAAGTCATAAAGGAAATGAAAACCAAATTCGAGAGTTGAATTACCATTAGTTAATTTCTTTTCAGTAACTTGTAGCCCAGACACAGATGAGAGAACTGCAAATGTAAAAACATTTAACCCTTAACCATGGCAAGAGTAAAACCATTAACATAACTAGTTCCAGACAAAAATGGTACAAGGTATAGCAACAAAATAGATGGAAATTTTACTTAAATGATGAAATATCAGCATCAAGACATGTCAAACAGCATTCACCACAAACAATATATACTATAGACAGGAGGAATCATGTAACCAGTTGACAAAAAGAGTGAATGTGGAACTCTATGATGACACCACTATGTTCATGAAAGTATTTCTGATGAGCCGTCCCCCTTACTAAATCATTGGAGATCAACTATATCCAATAGAGAAATAGAGACACTGAATGAATCAACATAGTTATGTAAATCCTAACATGCAAAGTTGCCACACTGATTGCATGGTCTGACAAATGATTCAGCCAAGCAAATTCGAGAAAAAGGACTCATTTAACCTTCCCCAACTAGTTTGGAAATAAATCTCTGTTAAATTGAGCCTTTAAGATGTAAAATACCAACAGAGTTACTTATTCATTGGAATCTCTTGCCTTGTTCATGTGAAAATATCAGCAGAGCTATTCATGAGAAGTCTTCTCAAGCTCACAACCTTCATCCACAATCATATTGACGTAACAAAAGCTAGGTCCAACAATTTTGCTTATTGTCCCATATGCCAGATATGTTTGAGAAAATTCCAGGAAGGAAAAAATATTAACGTTATAAGCCACAGCCAGAAAGATGATAATCTAGGAATTTCTGATATTCAAATCCAGTTACCCACATTAATATCTACCTGATATTGCTGGAGTGAGCACACCATCACCTATGACCATAGAAGCACCAAAGAGTACCACAACAAGAAGGGCTGTCCTTAGCCTTTTATGCTTCTCCAAAAATCGCTTAAATGGAGAACCAATGGCTTGTGTTGATGGCCCATATTTGTAGGCTGAGAGCTCTTCATCAGCTGCTTGCTGATTGGGGAGCAAGCTAAACTTTGCATGCCTACAAAGCAGGGAGTAAAGAGCAAAAGTGCCACCTGACCAAGAATCCACAGATATCAGCTAGCAAATGGTTAGCCAAAGGGATATAAAATTTTATTTTTATTAAAGAGAAATACCCATTATGAAGTTTAATGATTCATCACACCTTCACCATTATCATCCGCACTCAGCAAGATAAACACATACTTAAGAAGGGGTATCAATGTAAGGGTCCAAAAAATCAAGGAAAATGCTCCAAATATTGCTTCTTCATTCTGATGATTCTCCAACTTCCCTATGAACGTGCTCGAGTAAACATAAAGGGGTGAAGTGCTCAGGTCTCCATACACCACCCCCAAGCTCTGGCATGCTAATATTAGGTTCCTGGAGAGATTGACCCATGAATGCTGCAAAAGTGATACATGTACTTAATAATTTGCAGTTTCAAATAAGAACACAATGATAGTGCCATAAGTAATGCCAAAACATACCTAAAACTAAAACTCCACGAAACTCCAGCAGTGGCTAATACAGAGCATATTAAGTAGAAAAGGCAAATCCAAATTTAAAAAATTGATAAATAATTGAGGAAAGTAATCCAATAATGGAAATTAACACCAAAGCTATCAGATGCAAGATGCAAATTGAGGCTATGCCTTCATGTTGGTTTTCAAGAAGTTGCTTTGACAACAGTGGCCATTAGATACATCCTTATGGCACAGTAATAAGCATGTAATTTTGGCATTGTATGACACTGATTATGCAGGATAGTTGTCCTTGTCCTCGGCAATATGACTTTGCCGGCTGCCATTTGATGACACTAGTGCCATGTAACAGCAGGTCAAAACTTTAGTAATTCCAATCTTAGAAATTGCAAACACAAAGAAGCTGCTCTAATCAAGGGGAAACCAAAAGAAGTTAACAAATCAATAGCAGGTGCAAATAGTAAAAGATGAGATTTTATCCAATGAAACAGTTAAGAGTTTTCCTATTACACCACAGAATTAGAACTAGAATCTAGAAACTGGTTTACTAGCTATAATAACATTCTAGCAAAAAGAACAACTGATCTTTATTTAACCTTCTCACAATAAGTTTATGGATGCATGAGGCGAACTCAAAATATTTCAAATTTAATATCCTTATATATATATATATATATATATATATATGAGGAAAGATCCACTTACATAAGTTTAAAACTAATTTAGTTTTACACTCTTTCGTAAATATTTATGAGATTTATATTTGTTTAATCCTACCATTGTATTTCTTATGAGATTTATATTTGTTTAATCCTACCATTGTATTTCATGCTCTATTCATGTTGATCATGGTGGAATTCCAGTTAATTAAAAATGTCTAACTATTTGTTCCATATAAACAAAATTTCAACTGTTAAATATATATTAAAAAAGCAGCACTCTCGATCTATATGATAGAGATATTGGATCTATTCGAAACTTTAGGACGAGTACAGTTATGTTTTTAAATCCGACGATCCATTGTTGAAATATCAACCGTATATCAAAGTTCTAAAAAGGTTCAAAACTAATTAATTTTACACTTGTATAACTTGATCCCTCTTTTCTCTCTAGAAGATTAAGTTGAGAGAAAGAAATTATAAACCACAAAGAAACCAAAACAAGCTGAAAATCAGTGGAGATTAGGTTGGCAAAAGCAGCAAGTGTGATTGATTCGTTGAAGAAAATCTATGCTCACTCAACTAAACAGCGGATTAAAATAAAGAATACAGCAGCTACTTTTTGCGAGGGTGACGACTGCAGTTGAATTAATAGTAGAGCCGGGATTGAGAAGAAGAAAGTCTATGGTCACTCAACTAAACAGCGGATTAAAATAATGGATAAAGCAGCTACTTTTTGCAACAGTGACGACTGCAGCTGAATTAATAGTAGAGCTAGGATTGAGAAGAACTAGATAAGTTAAGACAATGAGATGAATCCAGATTCCAAGGCAGCGCCAAAAAAAAAAAAAAAAGGAACAGATTACGAATGAGAAATGAAATGAAGATCAAACATACAAGAACGAGATCAAATTATAAAAATAAAAAAATAAAACCCTAACCGGGGAAGGATTTCGAGAAGGAAAAGGAGTCGAGATTCCAGATTCTGGCTCCATGGAAAGCCGAGTCAGAGTGAAAGAGACTTCGGGTTTTTTTTTATTTTCTCTGAGATTATATATAGTCCAAGTCTTGTGCGGTAGGTGATGAGAGAGTTTTAATTGCGAATTTCTCTGCCGCTCCAATCTTTAAATCCTTCGACTAACGATTGAGCGCTTCCTTACTTCCTTGCAATTCCAAGGCCCCCCAAAGCTAACGGACCACCCAAACCCTGCCATTTCTAGCACTACAATTTAAATGCATACAACTATTGTGTAACGTGTATCATCTAATTGAAACAAATTTTGGTATGGGATGCTTCACACGCCTCTGTGGAGTTTGTCACACAGTTTCCACACGTGCTGCACACCCTATACCGGGTCAACTCGCTTCAACATTGCATTGCTTTGCATTGCTGATCCCCGAATCCCAAAGAATCCTCCTTCTATTCGTCTAATCTTCTATTTGCATTTTCATCATCTTAAAAAGAAACTACTAAATTGTTTTATTTTTAAAAAAAAAAATTATATTTTTTATATTTAAATATATTTTTATTTTTTTACTTGTATTTAAATAAATTTTTATTTCAATAAAAATTTTATTTATGTAAAGAGTTTATTTAGATAAAAATTAAAAACTTATTTGAATGTAAATTAAAAATTAAAAATTTATTTAAATATAAATTAAACATTAAATATCTATTTTAATTTAATAAAAACATAAAATTTTATTTAAATAAAATGTTACAATTTAGAGATTTTTATTATTATTTTAACTATTTTCATTTTCACTTTTTCCTTTTAAATTTTTAATAAACATTCAAGATAGATGGATTGAAACGTAAATGGTCACCCTCAAATTAAATGGATATTAATATTTACACAAATCAAACTCAAATTTAAAATCAATTACATCTAAGTGAAAAATCTTACTAACTGATTATTTTAGTTAATGTTTTTTATGCATTGTTACGGTGAGATTGGTGCCAAAATACCTTGAGGAACCAAATGAAAATTTGTTGTAGACGCATTGTCCAATCCCCACCTGCAGAAATTCATCTAAGCAAGCAACTAGACATAAACCATTACTTATCATGATAACACAGCTACAACAAATTTAGCAGTGCATTATAATGGCAACAAAACAGCTACAACAGTAAAAAAATTATCCTCAAACTCGTCAAAGGAGTACAACACATAAGTAAAGTGCAAGCAATGTGATCGAAACAACCTCCTTCAACTCCACTTCCTTTCCTCCAAATGATAAAAGGCTATTGAATGATAAATTAACTAAACTTCATGGCTTTATGACTGCCAGTTTTGTGAAAAAAGCATGATACCTATGAATTTAATGGACAAAAAGACTTTAAAAATCAGGTCCAGTTTCTCATTAGACAGTTGTAGTTTTTCTTTCAACATTCAACATAATTATTAATTAAATCCAACAAATTTATCTAGTTCCCATAGAAATACAAAACACACCAGAAGAAATGTCAGCTACTAGATCTTTCAAATCCCTCAAGACTACACCTAGTAGTAAATTTTTACCAGTACTGCTAGATAAATCATATAGATAGGTTAATTATTTTGTTACTGCAAAACTAATTATTGCATCAACTTAGTAATCATGAAAAAATCCAATGTCTTATATCAACATGCTTATAAATTTCACCATGTCAGAAACCATCAACCATTTGACATGCTAATTATTTCTGCTATATGCAAAGCATATATGATAAATATTGCAAACATTAGAGCAACATATGCAGGAAACGAGTTGAGACTATTCAAATCATGCAATCACTAATTTGATTCATACAAAAATTTTACACTAACGCAATGTTGATGATGATTGTAGAGTGCAGACAATGAATTATTCATTCTCATTTACAGGACAGACAAAATGGGTTGTCAGATTATTGAATGGAATTTATGGAAATAAGATCCTTCCTCAGTGTAATATTAGTTATAGGTATCAATATTAGTCCTAGCTATTCCATATACATATGGTCAAATAAGATCTTTCACATAATTTTCATCTAAGTCATGGCTATTCCTTTTTTATTAAATACTAAAAATGATTAGAGCAGTCTTAAAATTTATGCTTTGACAGTAAACTTATGAATAAATTCAAGATGAATATAACATAACAATCCAAAGACAATTGATTTTTAGTAAAAACTGAAATAACCGCACCTTTCAATGCTTATACCCATGAGCTAGCTTCACATCGGCAGCCCTTGCAGAGGAAGTTTAAGGAAGTGAAAAAAGATGGAGGCAGTGGCAAGATGGAGGAGGGGAAGGCAATTTAGGGCCGAGATAGTGAAAATGAACGGAAAAGAAAAGAAATGATAAGTATTTTAATCTTACTAATTCAATGTCAATACGCAAATCAATTAGAATATGCTAGAAATTGACGTTATACAAACTAATGCCAATGAAAGAAAGTTCATCCTCCAGTTTCCACCAATAAATCAACAATGGCAAAGCAGGGAATCCACATAACCGTTTGAAATTTGATATTGTGAAGTAGCCCCCTTTCTAAACTCTGTAGTTCTTGAACAAAAACAATTTTAACTCTACCACTTGATGATCTGCCATTGACAAAAGCAACGCAGCCCAGGAAGGACATATTATTAGAAAACAAGATAAGCACATTAAGCTACAGGAACCAAGAGACTAGCAAAATAAAACTAATTCATAAGATGCCAGAAAAGGCTTGGTCAAATCAAGTAAGAGAGTGTCGAGATGTTTCTCAAGTGCACCAAATAATACAACAAAATCTGTTCCCCTTGATACATAAGCTCACTCTCCCACAAAACTTATAAGCCGCAAAATCAAACTGTATTTTTACTTATTAAAATACTTAAAGACTCACATACATTAAGAGCTAGCACAATCAAATGAAGATGTTCGAATTCTAAAACCTACTCCTATAACTAGAACCTAGGTAGGTGGAAATTTGAAAAAGAAGCAAAAACGATATATCACGATTAAGAAACCAAGCAAATGCAACTTAAAACATTCATTTGAACATCCACTACATTAAACAATACTAGATCATAGGCATAAGGTAGTCTCATCAAATCCTTAATGTGATACCAAAATTAACACATCATAATGCACATTCGATAGGCTTAATCATTAACCATTCCCATTAAAGAACATTTGAAACGCTTCCAATCATAGCCATCAGTCCCCCTTTTTCCTAAAGGAGCATCCCTCTGTGAGTCTAGCTCTACCACCAGTAGGCTGGCACAAGACTGTCTGGCAGTTACCACACACCACAACAGTTTGAGAATGGCTAAATACAGTGGTTCTGCAAATTAAAAAGCAGAAATTAGAGAATGAAACCCCAAATATACTATAGAAGAAAATCCAAACAACTCAGATAATATAAACTTACATGTTGAAGCAACCTTGACACTTAACATCCTACACAAAGAGTAGAAGGACAAGTTAATCCAACATATACATATACACACATGAAAAAACAGATCAAAAGGTCAAAACATTTGATATTACAGTACAGCAAATATGTGGAATGCGATGTTTCTCAGATATCCTAAAAGGCAATAAATTAGAAAAGGATCAGGAAGAACAAATAGGCTATGACAATAAAGAAAGCCAAATATTACCATGAAGAAAGAATTAGGAGACTGAACTAGACGCTTGAGCTTGTGTTTCCTCTTCTCTAGCTCTGCCGGCGGATTTAACAAGTCGATGTCGTTTTGGAGAACCTAATCTCACATTTTAACCAGCCAAAATCAGGTCCAATTCAAAACAAAATCATAAGGTAAACCGCCCTGGGAAACCCATATCTTAAAACAAATCATAAACCCCCAACGAGCCCAAAACGGACAAAGTGTTTCCGTTTAGCTTAAGATAAGAACGAGTCGAAAGCAAAAAACAGCAAGAGGAAATATCCCAACAACAGAAACTTAAAAGTCATCGAAATTTCTTCTTTCCTAAAGCTTCCAATCAACCAAAAAGGAGCAAACGATAGGAAATCAAAAATATGAACTAATGAAAGAGTAAGCAACAATCAAAGACACGATAACGAGAAAAGAAAATGAATAAATAAAGAGGAACTTGGGACAGACCATTTTTTATCGCTGCTGGATGCGTTAGGAGAAACCTTGAGAACCTCCTATGCGAAAGCGGTACAGTTGCAGAGTTCCTCGGCAGAATCGAAAGGAAGACTTCGAAACATGCTAATACGAATGTGATGTTTATATAGAAAGCGAAAACTGGTTGCCCTCGTGTTCATTTTAAGCAGGTGGGCGAAGACCATAAACCCACTCAGGCCCATCCTTTGAAGCCCAAACCAAACTTCTGGATTTTTTTTTTTTCAAGCGTTTTAAAAGGAGGAGAAAGTTACGTGATTACTTTTTTTTTTTTTCAAAGAAGTGGGTTTTAAAAAACAAACAGTTATATATATATATACATATATATATATCATTAGCAATATCTTTGTTATTATTAAAATATTTTGCCATTTCTCTAATTGAGTCAAAGCTATTTGATTCTTGAAACCCAATTTAATAAGATGCCTTATAATTAGTATAGTTTTATGTAAGATATACCAGACCATCTTTGCATTTGTTGATTTTACATTTGGGTACTGATGATAGTAGACAAAAATGGTCGAGATTATTTATTTAGATATATTTCCTTTGTTGGGTTTGGGTTTTTGGGCCTGCAATTAGTGTAAGCCCAGGTCTAATGTAGAATAGTTACCTATTTTCCTTGATAGGATTTGGGTTTTGGGTCCTACAATAGATGTAAGCCCAAATTTAATATGGATAATATATACTTGTGTGCTGCATTAGTTGCAAGCCCAACACTTAATGGATGGATGGCATTGTGTTTGTAATAGTCCATTCCCTTCCATCAACCCAACTTGAGGTAAGAGAATAGCCGCGTTATCAGGAACTTTTATACGAGACGAAAGACGATAGTTTTTGACATATCCACACCAATTGCACTTGCAACAGAAAATCAGAAAATATGCATGCATGCCTACCTACCTGCCTAGCAAATGCCCGTGCTAAAGAGTCAAGAATCAACAATCTAACTACTTATTGCTTTACTATAATAGAAACACTTAAATATATAATTAAATAGCTCTTTTAATTGGTGTAATTATTTTGAATCAAAATATCATCCATGTATATTATAATAAGAATACAGTGTGAGGCATTGTAATTTTATTTAGTTGTTTAAGAGACCTATTAATTGCACCATGATCATCGTCACATTTTTGTAATAATAAATACGTAATATAGAAACAGCTTCCATCTCCATATAGTGCTTGGCTAGTGGTGATCACTACAACAAAATGGCGTATTAGCGATAGTTTTGTAACAGTTTTTTCACTTACAAATGTAGTTAACTTTCATATTTTTATAAAATTTTAGGTGTTTATTATCCAAATGCCACTAAATATTCAAATAGTGGCATTGTTACTTATAAATGTCACAAGACTTGATATTAGAGGCGTTTCTCGACTAAAACGTCTTAAATATTTTTTATTAAAAATTTCGGTAAATAGTTAAGGCCTAATTTTGACAGACAACGCCTTCAATAATCACGTCATAAAAAATTATATGAGATTAATAAAGGCGTTATCTACAAGAAACACCTTTAATATTTGGACCAAAAATTTCCCCAAGCTTATTAAATTTATTTTCTTCATAAGTACATTCAATATTAAGTTTATCAAATTGTTTGGATCGTATGGATGTTTACCATAAGGTTGTTGGTTCGATCGTCCTTTAGCTTTTTTTTGGGTTTAGGCACAGATTATTTGTTATTGATTATTCTAGGCGTTTTATTGGCAAAAACGCATTCACCAATTGCTTTAAAAAAATTTTCATAGAATATCGAAGGCGTTTTTCTTGGAGAGATACCCTTAATAATCGATAGGAAAAATATGGAGTCAATTCTTGAAAGCGTTTTTAGCCAAACTCGCCTTTTATAATCCAATCAGTAAATTTTTTTTTATTTTTAAAGGTGGTTTTGTAAGAAACGCCTTCAATATTCCATACACAAAACTTGGATGGGATGGTTGAAGGTATTTTTGGCTCGAAACGCCTTTAATATTCCCAACGATAAATTTTAATGGTCGGATTATTGAAGGCGGCTATATCTAAAAATGCCTTCATAAATATTTTATTAAGGATTATTGAAGGCGTTACTTATAAGAAAACGGCCTTCATAATTCATTCAATTAATTTTTAGTTGATATTATTGAAGGCATTTTTTGCCTAAAATGCCTTTAATATTCCAGACAATAATTTTCTGGGGGGATTATTGAAGGCGATTTTGGTAAAAAAACGCCTTCAATATTTTCTATTAAGAGTGATTGAAAGTGTTTCCTTGCTAAAAACGCCTTCATTAATCGCATTAATAAAACATAATTAATACTTTATATGTGAAGTCAGTTATAGGTTTATACCAAAAAAATCATATTATTGCTGTCAGTTGTATATTTATGCCCAAAACATTTGGTTTATATATATGATACTATGAATTACATTTTGGAATTAGCATAATGAACATTGTTGTATTTCAAAAAATGGACCACACATCCAAAATTAAAACTGATAACGTTATCATATTAATATACTTTTATGAAATAATCGTACTCAGTAATTTATTAAGTACACATAGTTGATTCATATTAAGTATAATAATAATATTAAACCAAAACCCCCAATGTACAAACTTAAAGTTTTCATTCAACATGGCATGTTAAAAACATTATAATAATTTGTTCTATATATATTTACATTCAACCAACAATATCTAACCTAAAGGTTTATCAATATTGATAAATGACAATACATAATCACACCATTCTTTACAGACTTCATCCAGCTCCTTTTCCGTGAAGCTTTCTTTACCCTCCCACTAAAAAAAAAATCAGAAGTAAATGTTAAGAAATGAGAACATAATATACTATTTTATTTTTTTGAATATATAACGAGTTTATAAAATTTATACTAACCTTGAATGGTATGGTCATAAAATCATGTAACATTATCTCCCGCATAAAACGAATGACATAATATCCACATTCAGTATTATCGGATTGATAAGGTACCTGAAAATTAAATTAAGTCGGTTTAAAAAATATTTATCTAAACAAACTCAGCATTAAAAGCATAAATTTAACATTTACCGGTAATAACACCCATTTCGATTTCTTTATCTTTTTATTGAATGCAGATATTACTCTAAATAGAAAAGAAAAAAATTAGTAGGAACATAAATAAAATTTCTTATGAAGAAATAGAACATATATAATATAATAAAGTACTCTAATACCTCTTTATAAAAGTTTGAATATCGGGGTTAGGCATCATCGTTAGATTAACTGAATTAATAAAGTATGGCATTAAGGATTTGGTGTCAATCACAATAAGCACCCAATGACGATTGCAAAATAATAACAATGATATACTTAAAATACGTTTCAGATCATAGAATGGAGTAGGTTGGAGTAATTAAGGTTGGAATATAGCTTACTACGCATTATATGGGAGCAAATAATAATCGTCGATCTTTTCATGTATAGGATCACATGATTAGCACGATACACAACTGCGCCACTCTACTCACTAATGAAGTTGGGGTCAATGAATCTAAATTTATTCATCAACTGTCTCCCCTTCAACTCTCTATATAGGAAGCTACACGATAACAATCAACACTGTTGGTTAGTATTACACCATAATACTAACTTACTACATACTGAATGTGCATATTTGTATTTATAAGCTAACCTCATATAAGCAACGATTTCAGCAGCTGATAATTCATCCATTTCACAAAATTGTTTCACCTCATCCACACCAATGAAAGAAAATGATTGTTTATCAAATAAGTCTTCCTCAGACTCAATGGATATGAACTTTTCATCGGTACAATTCTTCAACGAATATTTTATTAACTCATCCATAAAAGTCTGGGCAAGGGTTAGACTTTGAATCTAAACATCCATCTACAATATTTAATGAAATACAAGTATTAAAACCAAATCAATCAATATAATAAACAAATTAATATTCAAATTATAAACAATACCATACTTCTTAAGTGGTAGCGGATGATGGGATGGCTTTCTTACTTGCAACGAAAGCTTCTCGTATGGGGACGATGCTATCAGGCCGAGGTATTGGCATAACCTGCTGCATTACTGCCAACATGGACTCCAAAGTAACGAGTCTTTGTTGTTGGTCATTGAGGCGTTGCTCCTGGTCATTAATTTGTTGCTGCTGTTGCTTAATTATTGCTTCATATTGTGCATTTCTCATTCGTAGGATTTTTGGTTGTTTACCAAAATATGTTGATGGCAAGACAAATTTACCAACCCCATGAACCTGACTAGGTCTTTCTTTAGTGCCTAATGCTAAAGACGAAGGATTTTCACCATACTGAAAGGATCTTCACCATACTGAATTGTCAGTTCATCAAATTTTACTTTGATAGCATAATCATCCTGAAAGATAATAATAAGTCGGGCTGTTAGAACAAATCTACACAAGGTAGTATACATTTATGCATACAACCACAATGCCAATCATACATTATATCAAATAAGCAATTATACATACAATCTCTTTTGCTATTTTCTCGGTTGCTTCATCTGCGAAGGATCTATCCTTCCTTAGATGTCCTTGTTTCCAAACATCCCATTTGAAAATTTTTATGTTTGAGCTCACTGATTCCTATTAAATTACTGTGATAAAACAATCAGAATCTATAAAATGAATATTCATAAATATTCATTAATGAGTATAAAATAAGTATGCGAATACATACAAGCTCATACTTCACATTTGCATATCATTTCTTGCTATCAGATGGTGATATTGCTATTTGGCCCAAATGTCCTGATTCTTTTCTTTGATTTTCTACAAAATCAAGAAATTACGTCAATCACATGTGAAGATGAAAGGTTATATTACATAAAGACTTATAAACTTGGACTAATTTGGTAATGGATTTGTGCACAGAAAAATCTTTTGAAAGTCGATATCGAATAAAATTTATTCAATCTTCAACACTTATGACATCTAAATATACCATAGGTGGAACAGCCAAAACATCACCTTCACCAGCCAGTGGTAAAATATATTAGGTTGTCAATATATTTTTAAAGTCTTTAAATGCTTTCACAGCAGATTGCAATACAATTCTTTTGACACTTAATTAGGATGTCGAACCGTTTCTAAATA